GCAGAGGTAGAGGATGGGATTGAGGAGTAGTCGTACGTCGTGCCATGGGACTGCCTCTTCTGGGCCTCCATAGGTTTCTTCCCATGCTTGAATGGATTCGCGTACGAAGTCGATTGTCTGTGTGTGTGTGTTCGTCATGTTCGCCAATGTTGCATTTATGCAGGATAGCGCCTCTATCTATATAGCTAAAAAGATCAAGAAATAGTTTGAAGATAAGGGCATACTATTGATGGATTAGCCACCTTATAGTCCAGATCTAAACCCAATTAAACACCTTTAGGCGCAACTCAAGCAGTGGATTCAGGATTATTATCCTAAACTTAATAAAATGGACAAAAGCAAGGAGGACTATCAACGCTTGTTTCGAGCTATTCGCGAGGGTTAGGACGCAATTAATGAAGAAGCTATACATACTTTGATCAAGAGCATGGATACCTGTATCAATACGGTGATTTCAGCGAAAGGTTGGTACACTAGATATTAAGATCTGATTTCCTATTTAGGAAAATAGGCCAGCTTCGTTCCTTAGATTTCAGCACACAATTTGAGCCAATTTTCAGCAAAATCCATAAAGTCTTGAAGTCGCTATAGTAATTTGTATGAAGGAGGTGAGAAACGTTGGTGAGGTGTGAAAGTGGGGTTGGTCGGATACTTTTGAACTAGTACTGTACCTAGTCCGGCTCTACCTTAACTTCACCTCAGGATTCAGCAGATCACTAAGCACCGCAGAAAACTCTAACTCTTACTGTGCTTACACGCCATAGTACTGCGTAGTAATAGAATTGGAGGCATCAAATAATACGATTGGATTAAAAATTAGCTATTTCTAATGCTTGGGTGTGTGTGAGCCATGGACCATGGACCATCTTCAAGCCGGTTCCCAAGAAGGGTGCGGAGGCTCTTCAGAAAAGTTACCATAGTATGTTGTTTGACGGTGGTGGTTCAATCCCCAACCTCCTCCCGCATTCCCCACCAGGGATAGAAAAGAAAACTAGCAACAATCATTAGGCCCAATTCGTGTCGTGCTGGTCAGTGATCCCCTTCCCCCTCGTGCGAAATATGCGTGAGAGAAGGCAAGTGTCGTAGATTTGGGGAGAAAGACGGACAGGTAGAAGCCAACTCCAGCCCACTCTCTCCCTCCCCTCCTGCTCCCGCAAGCATTCCCCACTACATGCCTATTGGGAGGAGGAGCGCAATGATGCAAACCGCAAGGACAGGTTTCGTCGGTGTCAGCGACCAACCGGAGCCCGTATACGGCACCACGGTCCTTGCAGGAGGCGGCGTCAAGATCTTGACCCAAAATCAGCACATGCTCATCAACACAATAAACACGCGAGAGAAAAAAGGAATGGCCGAACTCACCTTATCAAGCACATGTGCCACTCCATTGTCAGTGATCAAATCCGCCTGCACAATCCTTGCCTCGTTGATATAAAGATCCCCCCCTCTGGAGCTAACAGTCAATGTCGTGCCCCCAACCGTGGTTAGGTTCTGTCCGTCTCTGAGCTCAGGTAGGTAGCCTAGGAAACCCGGGACGACGTGGTTGGATAGAAGAGAGGAGAGCTGGGCAGAGCTGGTCGAGTTAGAGGTTCCGGCTGCGTAGGCGGAGTCGGACGTGGAGAAGACAGTCACACCGGAGGGGTGAGACAAAGTGGAGTCGAGGCCGGTGGACTCCAGGCCGGTGGAGAAGGACGTTTGGTTGGTGGCGTTGAAGGTGGCGGCGAAGCTTTGAGGAGGGGTGAAGAAGCTGTATTGGAGGTTTGTTAGCTGGTTATTACTCCGCTGGGAGAAGGGTCAAGGTCGGGTGTGCCCTTACTCAGTGACCCGATGAATAAGCCCGTGATCGTAAGGAACATCCGTCGTAAGGACGGTGACGTTTTCTCCCAAGCCAGAAAATAACTGAATCGGACGCTCCTCAACATCGCGAGCACGCCGGTAGTTGTTCCCGCCCGACCCATGCGAGACAACCACATTCGAACCGTTGACCGGCCCGGGTATATTGACCCTATTGACGTTGCCCCTCGGCCGTGTGCCCAATGTGCTCCGGCTGCTGGCATCGTTGCTGCTCTGCATGGGCCCTTGGACCCCTGTGAGGCCGGCTTCGACCTGGCGTGCGCGGAGCAGCAATGGCACTGACGTGTTGAAGTCCGGGACAGCCTCGTCCATGGGTGCGTATACCGTGCGCACGTCTGGTGCGGTGAATATGGCTATCAACTCGGGGTCGCTCTGAATCCATGCGGCGAATTTGGTGGCATTGGCGTTGCGGAGGCCCTCAAAGAGGGTTACCGCACGGGCGCCCGTGGCTGCCCAAGTAACGAGTGAAAATGCGAGAAAGAATGGTTGCAGCATTGTGTTGGAGAAAAGGTTTTGAGTACCTTAGCAGCAAGGGGAGTGAAAGAGATGCTTTTGGTTTGGTGTGTGGGGAGAGGGGGAGTATGGGCCTTGAGAGAAACGAGAGGAGGAACACGAGGAACAGGACCGAGTGACACAAGTAAGGAGAGAGAGGTGTATCACGCAGTATAAAGACCGAAAAGGGCTCTCTTCTCAAACAGGATCGAGGCCGAGGAGAGGACTTTGACGTAGCATATATTCGGCCAACATGGCGACTGCCTTGGGGAACTTCAAGGGCTCAATGTGGACGAATGCGCAGTGTTCCTGGCCCTGTAGTTACGTAGTACGTAGATCAAATGTGACAAGAGATGCATCAATCATTGAGGTCGAGGGGTATTTGGCCTGGAGTGGGCGAAAAGTTGAAGTTTGGATCCGAAATAGCCCAATGGGGACTAGGATAGGGACTGGGACTGGGCCTGGGACTGGGATTGAGACTGGGATTGAGATTGGTGAGGCGCATTTAGTCTCAGCTGAATGTTCTCTCGCTGGCATCATCTGGCATCATCTGGCATCATCTGGCATCATCAGGCATCATCAGGCATCATGCGGCAACCAATCGTAGGCATGGTCACTTTCTCCATCGTATTCGGAGTAATACTATGTACTACGGTATCGGGCAGAAGTAATGTTAGCATGGTTCTAGTAACAACTAGTTATCATACAGCGCCACTTGGATGCCTAGAAGCTTCTTTGGTCGATAGCCACAGATATTCCCCATAGCAGTGCCACTAACCGGTAGAAGCTTAGCTATCTCGTTAAGGGTCTGCTCTGGAGCAAAAGTACTAGCGCCGTGCTAACATTACTTCTGCCCGATACCATAGTACTACAAGGGGGCATGAAGTATTGTTAGTTCAACGCTAGTATCTTTACTCCTTAACGTCCTTTATGCATAACAGCTAAGCCTATATCAGACTAATAGAAAAATTTGAGCTCTTTTTAACGGTCTGCTTAAATCAAGCTTTGCAATAACAAATCACGGCACTATAACGGAGTAACAGACACTAGCCGCTACTAGCACCAGACTAACAATATTTATGCCTCCCCCGTAGTACGTATGCAATACCTGGCTGTCTCACACTCAGCACTCAGCTCCACACCGACGCCTGTCCGTGCCGAAGGGGTAGTTAGGCGTAGTGCAGCCAATAGTTCTTATTTAGTGCAAAACAACCGTTACCTCGTCCGATCAGTTCTTGTTTGCTCACTTTTGGTATTTGACCAGACCAAAGCTTCCAAGTTTTATTGGCGAGGCTAGAAATGCACCTCATCTTGACCAGGTGCGTATTATTATTGACAAGGGAGGGAGATAAAAGGGACACAATTTAGCCCTCCTATCATCTAGGGCAAAATACACCACCTATTCTCAGCTCCTGACACCATAATCTCCAGTAATAAGAAGAGGAGGGGGAAGAAGGAGAAGGAGGAGAAGTAGAAGAAGGAGGCGGCGATCCTGCTTTGATTGGGCAACGACTTTTGAGAGCATTTATGCCTAACTAGGTAGCCAACCCGTTGGAGCCAGGTAATATACTGAATAGTTAGTTCTACGACTGTGAACAGGAGGATGCGGGATGCATACAGCACACTAGTGACTTTGTAGTCATTGAACTCAATGCAGGAAGAAAACCAAGAAGGCAGAGCAATCAGAGCAATCAGCGCGATCAGACCACCAGCCCGGCCACATCAAAGCCCATCAACCATGACCAATGGAGAGGAAGAAGAATGCCAGCCGTGTTAAAGAGCCTCATCCACCAACGAAGCTCATGCGCAGAGACTTCCGCTGGCTTCTCAACTAACATCGACGCCAGATAACAAATATCTACCCCGTCATTGGTGTCATTGACTGCCCTCTGTTCTCCTCTTGAACCGTTTCAATCAGACGGGTGGGAGTGGCTCTTACGCAACTTGGAGATCTGTTAACTCGATCTGTCATCGAAGCTGTGCAAAGCCCCCTCGAATAAACTCATCCATCCTCAGTCGCCAAATATCAGCCATGAACCGACCAGTTCCTCAGGACACTTACCTACTTCTTGAACGGTTTTCCATGCCGCACGGGAACTCGACGGCGGACGCTGTCTCGCTTTCCCGCGGCAATGGCTTGATCTTGATCTCACTGTACACCCTTATGATCGGGGTTACCATCAGGCAGTTCTGGACGCTGATCGTACTCATTGGCGTCACCATCTTCATGCGAAAGAAGCACTCACACAACCGCGGCGCGGCTACCGTCGGGGTGTGGAATGCCCAGGCGTCACCATCCAATGTCGCCATGCTGGCCGCCCGTTACGTGCTGCACATGAAGGGTGAAGTGTGGTATCCGCTCATGTGGACGCTGCTCGCCACCGTGGTTGTGGGTGCCATCTCGGCCGCCTCAATTCTCCTACCACGTCTGGTCAACATCGGCACCGTCGCGCCCGTCAATCCCCGCGCAGTCTTCGTCCCTCTTCGCGATGGATCGAACCAAACTGCCACAGCGTTAACCTACGCACTGGAGGGCCCGTCCGCGCTGCGAGCGGTCGGTGCGGCAGACACTATTGGGAGTGAGGCTAGTGTGGTCGTGGAGCAGGAGGAAGAGGTTGGTGGCTCTGGTCAGGACCCAGGTATCCGCATCAACTATCGCTACGGCGTCACCGCTTCGGATTTTGGTCTTCAACACGCCCCCGGCCTGGTTATGAACGTGACAGGCTCATGTGTCACCGAATACTCGTGGTTGCAGGAAACCTTCTACGAGAGAACGGGCGAAAACAACAGTGAGATAGCGCTGGTGGAAGACACCTATGTACCGTGGAATAACATTGCAGCGCAGAGACGGGTGTCGAACCTTGATAATGGCCCGCCATTTGCCTATTTCGTCTCCAACCCAGCCACACAAGGCGAAGGACTCGGAAACACCACCTTCGCCATCGTACCGTCCTCGCTCTGGCGAGACAGCTTCACAGCCTCCACGGATCCGTGGTACCTAACCCGCAACAGCTCGGAATTTTATGCCGTGAATGAAAACCCCTTCATTGTGGTGCCAGGGCGACCCGCCCTCTCCTGTTGGGAAACAGCCATCTGGTCTTATGGCGATTCTAGCGTCGATCTGGCCCAACTGCATCAAGTCCCGGGCCTGCACCTACCTGATGTCTTGATCAATATCTTTGACGCGTTCCTGATCAGGCCTATGATGCCCGAGATGGGGATCCGCCTTGGCCGCTCCTCACTCGCATCGGCAACAGCTGCGTTAGGCGCGACCTTCAATGCCGGTGGATCCAGTATCCAGAACGATATCACGCGCCTGGTAAACGCCTCCTACATCGCAACGCGGAACGTATTGGCTGACACCACGCTCTTCTCCAATCCAATTGGCTCAGGCATCATCAATATCGCCCGACAAACAAACGGCGAACCCCAAGAGGGTGTGGGCGACTTCGTCGTCTCCAGCCCGGATATCATGACACTTTCGGTTCGCGCGCTCATTATCGTGCCTGTCGTGTTGCTTGGCGTCTTCCTCCTTACCTATCTTATTGGCATCCTGCCGGCGCCTTGGCGTATGACGGAAGCTCTACACGCTACAGTGCTTTATAGCCACCTGCACGAGAAGGCTGGGGATGGGGCCCAGGCAGAATGGAAACGCCAGTCTCTCGCTGCGTATAGCAGGCGGACCGGTGACGCTCCAATCAGCCCTCTGTACGACGAAAATAATGGCGAATTACTCTGGGCTCAGAACGAGAGGCAAACTCAGGCTGCCGCTGTACCTGCTTCAGAGTACGTATTTTCCCGCGTCCTTCTCAACCGCAAACCTCTTTCCCATTTTATCTGTTTCAGCGTGGGATAGTCATGGCACGCTTTCGAGGCTAACACTGAGGTTTTTCTTGCATAGGGTCGACTCTGGGAAGTCCTCGTCGGCGGTACTAGGAACAACCGAGAAGAGCGGCGGCGGAACCAAGACGCTTGGGGGCCTCGCAGGCACCACAGTTGCCGGCGCAGTCGCTTGATGATGACGATGCCGACAATGGCGATATCGGGATTGCTCTGCACATGAGATAAGTGAGAATAAGTCACAGTGACTACGGCAATTTGTTTTATGATTCAGGGTATCAGAGTAATGAATTATACAAGCGGGATGCATTCTGAACGGTACATTCGCTAAGGCTATTTGGCAAAGGTCCTTTTTTGGCATTTAGTTCTTGATAGGGCTCCGCAGATGAAATTTGTATGCACGCGGCACAATCCCTAACCGTTTTCAAAACCTTCCAGTCACTGCCATTCTCAAAGATAATGCTCATACATTCAACATCATGGAGTTTTTAAATCAAATTAACAGAAGAAGAAAAATAAGCTTCTTACATTTCTTCACTGCAAACACACACATAAATAAATCAGTATGCTTATTTACCAAGAATTATGTTCTTAATGCCAAATCCTTCTGGGATTTGGCCACTGACCGTTACTTGTGAATGTTATCGCCAGCACTGCAGAAGACGCATTCACGGTTGAATAGTTAAAGAGATTCAATTTGACCTAAGTTGTGTCCAATTGCGACCCTAATCCCGGAACTACAGATAAGCACATTTCGGCCCATGCCACTGACACTTTGCTTTGCCTAACCGCCACCAACCTCTGTACTCTGGCTTAGATTCTTGTCCTCGTTTTGCGAATCATGAGGGGTAGTCTGTTCTCCATTCACACCGTTTCGATGTAAGAAGTTCCCGATGAGGGGAATCTTCCAGAAATGTTCCTTCGGGTAGCTCCTTTGAACAAGATCTGAATCATTAAGAATGGCATCAGCTTGGTCCCAACAGCAGCAATCAATGGTAAGGGATCCTCACCGTGCAAGACAAAAAATATCTCAACCGGGATCGGAGCCCATATAAATAGCGCGGCAATCTGTCCGAACCCCCAATCATCATCCTCAAATTGCTCTCCCGCCACACTGTGCAAATGGTTCCGCTGCCGCCACATCATGACAAGACCCGTCACCATGCCAGCAATCATCAGTCCTATCAGCAAGACCCACAAGGACATTAATATCTGAAACAGTACCTGATGCGACGGTCGGCGCTGGAACTTTCTCTTCAGTGACTGTAGCCAGAAACCCACCGTCCCCACGACGGCAATGACTGCGACTGCCCACGGCGGATAGAGGATCGGGGTAATGACATCGTAGTCAGTTGACTCCTGCGCGCAGCCATCCGAGGCAAGCCTCCAGTTAGTCCGCCTGCCACCGTTGAGATGACTCATGCTCAGAACAGCAAGGACAAACGCGAAAACGACGGTGTACAGCAGCACGCGAGCGGTCCGACGTGGCATGGACCGGATCAGGCAGAAGAACATGACGAGGATGCTGTTGACCTGGAGAAAGGCCATGGCCTGCATCTCAGCAATCTCGAATATCGCCGGGTTCTGGTGCAGGCGGACGATCGAGGAAACGGCGCACGCGAGAACGAAGAAGCCATTAGCGGCAGAAAACGCCGTCTGGACTCTTTCCAGCTCTTTGACAAACGAACGAAACGTGACGGTCTCAGTAGGCTTGCTGGGTGGCGTCCAGGCAAGATACAGTAGACGATACGCTGGACCGATGAGGACGGTGAGAATGATTTGAATCGTATACGCACTCATCATCTTGAGAGGAATGGTTCAGCATCCTGCAATCTCGACAATGCAAATTTACTTACGCCGATTCCCGATAAATCCGGGTTTCCCACCCCGTACGTAAGCAGGCACAGGTTCTGGCAATTTTGTACCTCTACGGTGATATTCAATCTCTCCATGGCAGCATGATTGAAGAAATCTTGCATCGTCTCAAAATCGCATCTGCGGTTGTTGGAATCAGTGGCACCGTCATTTTGGGGCAGTGTGCTCGCAGAACTAGTAGCAGAAGTTAAAGTAGCCTCGACTGTCGTTGAGGATGCGGTCGATGTAATCTCAGCTGCGGTTGTCGGCAACAGTTGAGACGACGGTGCTGGCGCTTGGGGAAGGGCCACTGCTCGCGATTGAGGGCACAGCAAGAAGAATGCTGTTAGATAGTACAGAATGTGTATCATTTTGCCCTACTTGGATGCTGGATCGGGAAACGAATGAAGTCCAATAACGGATACCAGGAATGCTGAGGTCCTGAGGATTCCAATCTGTATGGAGTGAACACTCAAATACATTTTCAGACTATATCATTTGCATAGTTCCAGCTGCTTGTCTCCCACAACATTCGAGCCAAGAAAGGAAGGCTATCCAAACAGATATTGAGGAGGTGCATAGCCAGTGGCTACCTGAGCAATGGACTGCCAATAGAAGCCCGACTCGAAGTCACAAGGACGAAAGGACGTTGGAGCCATACCAAACAACGGCACAACTGATTTGGACCCTGGGCCTGCAGTCACCCCATGCGAGCCACATCACAAGACGACAGAACTGGTTCCGCCGCTGTGGGTAGTTCGGAAAATTAAGGCGTCCTGAACGCATTGGGCACGATGTGGAGCACCGGCATCTGTCAGAAGCCAACACGTTGCTGAGTGGGGAAATAGAGCGTTGCGGTATGCAGGACCGTTAAGGATCCTTGAGGTTCTATGGAGTAACTTCGGCCGGATTCGTCGATCTGGCCACTTGTACCCTGGTTGGTGGCGTTCTCCAATTCGGAAGTGATAGACTGTGTGCGGCTGTGGTTGGATTCATAAGCACTCATCCACGTTTGGTATTAAGTTACCATGTATGTGGTATCCCTCGTATTTATGTACATGGTTGAACAGCTCAGATCTTGGTTCATGTAGATCAGGCTGTCAAGATCTTCGGGTGTAGATGCTATGTAGTTAACAGAATCATATTCCAATGACTATGATATCTACTATTGTTATTTGTGGGCGCTCTCAAACCTTCAAACTCTGAGCAATGAATGCTTCAATGTTATGATCAATTTAAACCTCGACGGCGGCTAGCTGAATCACAATGTCGATCCCTAGCCAGCAGTACTGCTGACAAAAGACGAAGACAAATTTACAGTTTGAATTAATGTTACACAGCAACTACGGAGTGCTACCCACATCGGGCAATCAGGCCATCAAGATACGACGACCATTAGCTCGAGAGCTTGTGATTCCCTGTTACGCAATAACGGCTGCCGGGTTAGTGGGACAATTTCCCATGCCTCGTCGTCTAGGGAATCTGCGACTATTGTAATTCTGTTGAACTCAAAAAAATACAGTTTGCGCTATTCAGCTACGCGTTTCACATGCATTGTATTACAGACCTGTTACGCCTTTTGCATGAGCTCCGCATGTATTTTTGGTATCTGCGTTTCGTGCTATTTCGCTTGGAATCGCAGAATTGTACGTATGAAAACTACGGTACCAGGCATAAGTATTGTTAGCGCTCCCTAGTAACAGCTTATACATGCCAAGATAGAACGCCACGAAATGGCTCAATTAGGACTAGCCTTCGCACTTCATGGCACCTGGCTGGCATTGATTCAAGCTGCTCTAGAAGATAAACTTCTGGTACAGCATTTCAAGCAGCAGTTATAGGCTTATCGCCTCTCGTTCATCGAACTCATTAACGTTGTAGAATAAGATAGAACGCGTAGAATGGCGACAGTGAGGTCATAGCGCCGTACAAGGGCGAGAGGTGTATCTGTATGAGAAGCGTTAATGACAATTTTACTAGAGGCGCGCTAACAATACTTATGTCTGGTACCGTAGTACATGCTCTGCGCACTAATTTAGATAGAACAACTTGCTATTTTTCCACCACCAAGGGGTGCAGGAATTCATTTTACCACAATTTGCGCCGACATTTAGCCGAATCGAGTCAACACATCAAGTACCTATTTCCTACACAAGTTTACTCGATCAATTCAGCAAGATGAGTCCTCCTGTTAATTCTGAATAAGACTCTACGGTACAAAAAATCTATAAGGATAAGAATACTTAATTTTATTTAGTAACTTTGTACATAAGGTGGTATGACCTATTTCGGCTAAATGTCGGCGCAAATTGTGGTAAAATGAATTCCTGCACCCCCTGGTGCCACTGATCCATTGATTAGTCAGCACAGTTCGACAGATTCACATAAAACCAAGCCGTGGAAAAGGTTTTGGCCGCACCCACCTGAAAATCCGCAGTCTACCTCCATCAATTTCTGCATCGACGTCTCAGTTGCTTGGTGGCTTTGATTACTTTTTTCATAATGGATACCCCTTTGAACGACCCGATTGATTTTTTTAGTGCTCGGATCGGTGCATGGTTCTCATTGAGGTTGGTTACGTACATTGATGGTTTCGTCTACCTTCAGCTGTCGAATTGCTTTCCCTGCCCAGTATGCGATCACCGAGTCGAAATTCTAAAACGAAAACTTCATGATGGAGCCCGCTCTTGTGTCGGCCTCGCAGGAAACGAGGTTCTCCATGGGCTTGCTGGGCATTGGAGTTACAATGTCGTTTTAACAGACAAGAAAGCCATATTTGTCTTTCCGTATGCCGGCCCTAACACCCCAAAAGATATTGCAGACTTCTTGACCACCATGCTTCTCCTGGAAGTCGCAGTAGAACGGGGGTATGGTCAACTCATGCCGCTTCCAAGCATTCCAGGCGGCTTTGAAATCCCAGATTATGTCTGCCTCGTAGACTGCTCGAGGCATGGAGATTGTCACGTGCGTTACATCATTAGTTCTACTTGGCGCTCCTAGATTAGTTCGGGTTGCTCGTTGGCAACTTCTTCTTCTCCCACCATGCTGGAATCAATCAATTTGCCCAAAACCATTGCAGAGATATTGTGAAAGCGTCTCATTGAAAGGGGCGGTGAGGGTGAATTAATGAAACAGCAGTCCAAAAACAAGTCTCTATTGATAGCAGCTTTGGTGCTAAAAGAGGGCAATATCGAGGAAAGCTGTGAGAGACTGATCCATTTTGCCCAAAGGTACCCATTGGAAGATAGAATGATCGGGAGAGCTCTGAGCTGGGGAGGTTGGGACGCCCGAAAAGTTGAGCAAGTGCTGTACGGATATTACTATAATGCTGACACAGTTCTATACATCAGCACAGCTCAACCAGAGCCGCAGTTGCTTGCTGCCAGAGTGAAGAAGGTATACGACCTCACTATCCACTCAGATCTCAACAAAAGTATTGACCATGGACAACCTTTCCATAATATAGTCAATTATCGACTACATCAGGAATTCTATTCACATCTACCAAGTCATGGGTGGTCGTTGGCAAATCTTCCAACTCAGATCAAAGACCAGCTGCCGCCTGTACCCGCTGAGTTAGTGTCTGAGGGCGTTTTGATCACTTGGTTGTACACACTGGAAAACCCGTCTATATACAAAGACATCAATTCTGCCCTTGTCGCAGATGACGAGAAACGACTTCAGCCTTGGATGCCGATGATTCTGATTGGTATTCAGTACGCCGGAGATCAACCCGTTCGCGGTCGAAACTACGACGTATCGAGGCTCCAGAATCACCAAATACCGATTCGATTCCTTGCGCATCCACGCCGTCTACCGAGACCCCAAATTTGTTTCGACCTCTTTATCTAAGGCCCAGGCCGAACGTCGCCGCGTCACATATCTCTGTGGATATAAAATTACGAAAGGGTGCAGGAATGCTGTGAGGCTTCGACGTTCGTTCTTTCAAATTGAGGCCGAAGTGCTCTTCCCCCTTATACACCACCCCACTTGATCGGAAAAGATGAAAATAACAAAGTGGTTTGTTTTAGTGTTTTGGGCAGGGATTAAACCTCTCGACATTTAGAGACTGAAGGCGGAATCAATGACGAAGGAATAACAACCAATTTCTCATAATCAAACTTCATAAGCGGATACGCCCTGGATGACAGACGTAGCCTTTTCGCTCGGCTTAAGGCACGTTGGGTCTCCAGTATAGAATGCCTCATTACTAGGACTTGACGGAGTCCTGCCTGAGTTAATGCATATTTGCCCAGACCATTCCAGCGAAAGAAGGAGTCTGATGAATGCGCAAGGTGGAGAATATGGCAGCGCACTGCAGGCGGCATTATGGGAAGTTATGATAAGGTGGTGCAGCGTGCACCGGGGAGCCACATTTTCAACACCCTATTTACGATGCAGGTTCCGGAAAGGGTCAAGCTACTAGATCGTAACTCAACCATCTCGAATTTCACAGGCCAAGAAGAAGGAATGTTCCGACTATGAAGTGCACCCACGCCTTGACTGCGAAGAAACTATTGACACAACTGTGTGACGCTGATAATACTCTTGTAGCCATCTAGACAACGGAGTTTTCATTCACATAATACTCGGTGATGTGTGTGTTCAACGAGTACTATCCCTAAATGGACGAATCCTAGTGACAAGCCCGGAAGAACATGTTTCGTTCAGATCGGTCAGTACAATGTCGCCTTTCTGCATCTACATGGTCGAGTTACCAGAACGAACTTCATACAGCTGCTAACAGATCAAGGTTGCGGGCAAGACATTAAGCAGCCATGACTTCCATGATTCGAGGTCGCATCTGTGGACATTGAGCATATCCACTATCATTCCGTAAGAAGGCAAAGAGATAGATAGCCCACTAGCTGTCAAAAGACATGTCAAATAAGATGGCATCTTGGATTTCCCGTGCACCTCGTTCCGTGACTCGATAGTACTTGGGCTGTCCGGACAACGAGATCCCCAGACTCATTACCAGAAGCTCTCGACCGTCTAGTCGGTAGAAATATCCCTGTATCAGAATGAGTATCGTATATGTCTCCCTGCACAGGAGGGTATCACCATAGCAATCTTCGGAGATTTGAGTGGGAAATACATTTCTGGATTCTCAAGCTCAGTGAGCAACTCTAGCTCGGGCAGCCGCAATTGAGCGTCTTCAGGTTGACCAACGAGGTCATCTCGGATCAAATAATGAAAGTTTTGTTGTAACTTGTGCAGTGTTGCACAGGGGATGGAGTGATGGATGATAGGAGAAAGGACGTCGAAGAGATACTTAAACCCAAGAAATCGTGCCATCTCCAATGCAGTCATGTTTGTGAACGGTAGCTCTGACGATGAAGTCCAGACAGTCTACAAAGTCCTTGAGGCACCTTGATCGACCAGCATTCTGACTGCAGATTTCGGAGCGCCGAGGAAGGCTGCCTGATGCAGTGGCGTCCAGCCTGTAGGGCCTCTAAGTCTTCCTATTCGGTAACAATTTGGCCATGATCTGAGGCCCTGCTCATGAGCGTCATCAATGGTCACTTCGACTTCGTCCCAGTCGCCATAGTAAGCTGCATCCACCAGCCTGTCCCGCAGTGTGAGATACTTGTCATCATACATATATCGCGACAGTTGGCCATGCCATATCACTGTCTCAGAGAGGATTTTGGTGAATGGCGGTATAGCAGGTAGCATCTATCTGTTTTTGAGTTTCTAAAGAATTTGATGTCGAAATGGGAAGCCACAATGTCGAGTCGTCCTCCTTCAGAGGTGACCAGAGTCCTACATTGGTTCCGAGTTCTGCTGGGTCATCCGCGATGGATGTCGACGGCAGGTCGGTTTCGGCAAGAGAGATGATGTCTTCAGTATCTGGAATATCCGTTTGAGCTTGGCCTTCTGATGTCAGTTTCATCTTCGCCAAGTCAAGTTCATCAGTGAGGGATGGCGGCTCCGCGTGTTCAGTGAAAGGTGGAGGCGGCTCGTCGACAACGCCAGTCGAGCTCTGGGTAATGGAAGATATTGAGACAGCTTGTACATTGGCTCCATCGATCAGTGTTTGCACGTAATCCCTGGTAAATACAACGGATTCTCTATCAAAATATCAGCAGAGAACCCAAGACTTCGAGGCAGGGTCGCCAACGTCGCAACAGATAAAAGGACGGTGCGGATTCCATCTTCTTGCGCTCTTAGCCCGGCAACAAGTGCCTCAAATTTGCTCCGTCGTACCAGAATCGAAAGCCGGCAAACAATTCGGCCTGAGCGAGTTTATCAATCAGGCGTTTGAGCTCACCGAGAATCTCTTCGCAGCCTGTTTTATCGAAAGCGAGAAGACTCTTATTATTTTTGCTGGGTCAACCCTCGGAGTTGCTCTAGTAGCAGTCGCATTAGGTTGGTTTCATTGAGAACATTCAGTAATTCCCTTTTCGCCGTCTTTACGCTCTCGATAGTCTTTTTGATGATCTGTACCGTGTGAACACAAATCGTGATGAGTGCGGCAGCACTTGCACTGATTGATAGAGGATCCATGTTTAGAGCAGGAATGTCTTTGCACTGCAACACATGTTTCTGCCAACACTAGAAGTCACAGCTGGGAAATATCTTGAGACATCCTGCTGTAAACGCCAAGAGTCCTGTCAAGGTCAAAAATATAAACCTTTACAAGCGAGCCCGCAGCTGAAGCTATGCTCGTTTAGCCTGCCTTGCCATGACGCCACGTTGATTAGAATGAGATCAAAGTTGGCTACCAAAGCAGCGAACTTTCACCAGCCAACCACACCACACGAGGTGCAAATGACAATAATCGGAGGAATGGAAAAGGTCTCTTGTTGAAGCGTTTGAGAGAGCAGCTTGTTAGAAGTAGTAGCAAACAGCGTACGGAGGTGCCAATTCACTTGATTGAGTTACTCCTATCAAGAGGAGCATTTGCTCATACTAATAGCTATAGAAGCGCATTACTGTCACAGCTCAAGAACATCATTTGGCGTTCAATTCGTATAGCAATGCTCACTGCCATAAATAACAGGGCGTAACAGTTACAAGAGCGTTTCGTGCGTTTTGCATGCGGGGACCCTTGTACCATCATGCTAATACGTAACAGATACGTATCATATATGCAGGGATTCTGACACAGCTGAGAGCTTGACAAAGCTGAAAAGGCAGATTTGAGAATTCAGTTCGGATACCTGGAAACTTTTGATAGAGGCACGACAGGTGACTTCACCCTGCTGACTTCGACTGCAGCTGCGGTTGTCTGGTGCCAGACGGAATTTACTGTATGGTCATAAAATTGAGGCATCAAAAGGCCTTTGGCGCACGCAATTTCCTTACACAAAGCCTTGTAATTTCATAGAACAATCAATAACTCACACCTCAACTCTAGACACTGGGACATAGGACGCTGTTTCGGTGGTCTCTGCCGCCGTTTTTGACACCCGTTGCACCCTCTGGTCATGTGACCTTTACCCCTGACCAGCCGGCTTAACCACTAAATCAAAAACAATTTAATTTTTATAGATTAGTTTAGGTTAATGCGACTAAATTATGCCGCGGTGGCGAAGTGGTATCCGCGTCGCACTCGTATAAATCTGAGAAATGCGAAGATCCTAAGTTCAATCCTTAGTCGTGGCATCAATTTTTTCTCCTTGTATGGGTCAACACTTTATTGCAATACTAATCCATCTGTCGGAGCTAATAGAAGCTCGTCTCTTTTTCATCCATATAATTTAGGACCTGTCCGCCAAGGTATTATTGATTTCTCGTGCAAGAGACAAGTAGAGAAACGTACATTCATGTTTTCTAAATGATGCATCTATATCACGGGAATGATCGGCGAATCGAGCAAGACTTAACCAAGTCATAGTTCAGAGTCCATACCAAGGTTGGACAGGATCGTCTCAGCGCGTACTGGACGCGCAGGTCTGGCTATGGAGCTGACCGATCCCAGCAAGATCGCAAAGAACTTGGAAAAATCCGGGGGTGAAGTCGTCGAATTTGGCGAGATGCAAATCTAGGAAACATATAAATTTCCTATCAATCGCAGATTGCTTCCATTTTCTTCTCAAGCGCGAAATTATCCTTGTGCATTCTGGCCTTGGACAAAGCAAGTTTCTCTCCATACTCCAAATACCGCAACTCCCTTCTCGAGCTCTACACCTTTGTCATCCAACCTGGCTGCTTCTTTGAACCTTTCTCAGACCCAGCATATGCCTGTTTCAACCCAGCAACAATCTCGTAAGTTCTAAGCTGTTCTTTCTCAAGCTTAGCGACTTTCTCCTTAAACTCAGCACCTCCCTTGCCCTTTAATCAGACCTACTCAGTATCAAGGACTTTTGGTCCACGTTTGAGATTTGCACGCTCTTCGTCTGGGATTTCCAGTCTCCCAACAGCTTTTCCCTTGTCTTCCACACGCGGCTTGCGTCTAGCATGGTTCATTGGGTCTCCCAGCTCGGGAAGACCAAGTCCCTAACATTTGCTTCCGCGATAGCCACAAGAAGTCCACGAACCTATAAATCCGCTCGGCGTTCAGCTGGCGTCTGGGGCTTGGCGTCGCGAGTGAATCTCACTGTGGACTTCATTCCAACCTTGTGAAACATCCCTCTGCCTCAGATGTCATCATGAGGCGCCGTGACAAGCACAAGAACATGGTCTTCAGAGACATGGCCGACCGCCAGATTCCCTTGATCTGAAATCAGGGGCAATCAAACTCTTTGTCTGAACACTCCCTAGTTTTCACGAAAAGAACATTCCGCTCTCTCTCATCAATGCGCAAAGACGCCCCGGATACATAATTCGGCAGTCAACGCCCCTCCAGAATCCGCTTCCAAAGTCTCTACTCGTTAGACCGCTTCGCAAAGGTCGATTATGTACCGTGCTAAGGGGGTTGGTATTTTGAGGAGCCGTGGTGGGATGACTTCCGGCCGGGGGTAACGAAGTCGCTAACACTAATATTGCATAAGCATACCATCTCGGTACCAATCGATAGCCATATCTCGCTATTGGCAGAGTGAAGCTATCCAGTCGAATAAAAATGATATTCCCCAATCACCGTACTCTTGTGTCACATTCATTCTGATATCAATAGATACTTTGCCAAGAGCCATACCGCATAACCACAGGTCTAGTACCCTCTTCGTCTACTTGTAAATATGAATTCCTAAGCGCTCATGACATATATAATGATACACAGCATTCGATCACTGAGCAAGCAAGTACTCATCCAATCTTCAAGTCCCTTAATCTAGGCTCTAATAATGAAATCGGAATCTTCTCCACTTCGAAAGAATGATTAATAAATTTATGTTAGGCAACACCCACCACAATCGACCACAGGACATGGAGAACAGGGCTTCCCGTTCGCTCAGCCGTACTTAAGCCATGTGCCGGCCGGAAGGGGGAAGGGAGAAGGGAGACTGCAGAAGGAGTGGAGAGTCACAAGGTAGGAGAATGTGGAGGAGCTCGAGATAGGATGACAGGATGTTATAACGTAGATTCTCATAGGGTTGAGATTAGATGTTCAGAATTTCAGATTCTCGTTCGGGCACACCCGCTCATTAATCCTCGTTGTGTTGACAAAGGTTCCTCAAAAAGCTGATCATAGAATAAACTGTCTCGTAGATATGAATAGGCCCCAGTTCCGCTCCAATATTCAGTAGTTGAAGTCCTCGTAATGTACCGTCTTGCCTGCCAACCAGTCCAAGATCTCCTTCCTCAGCCCCACACCAGTACATAGGTACCAGGCTTCCGCGTCGACAGAGGTAAGGTCATTCGCCTGCACACGTCTCTGCTCAATGCTGGCGCCGGAATTGAAAATCATTTCCTTTTTCGGAAGGTCCTCTTCTCGGATGTCCGCTATCTGCCCTGACAGATACAGGACACAGGATTTGGGCAACGAAGCATGGTGTTGGAAGGTATCGTAGACGAGTCCAATATCGCTTACATGCAGTGACCAGAACAGTCGCAGCCGTGATATATCGATATCTTCTAACTGCGCTAGCAGCGGGGTGACACCTATACCGCCAGCAACGAACGCGATCATCCCGCCTGGGTTCTGTTGCAGTCGGAGCTCCCCTCCGAAACCACGAAGGGGCACTTCGAGGCCAGATCGCTCGCTCTGCATGGAGAGATACCGAGTGACATTGCCGACCTTTCGCACGGTGATCTCGAATTCTTCGCCGTGGATTCCTTCGCCTGGCCGTGAAGAAACGGTGAAGGTGCGCAGGTAATCGTCGTTCAGGCTCCGAGGGTCGTCATCTCGCATGTGACTGTAGCCCATGTCAAGTTCGTCATGAAAGGAGAGAGCGACGTATTGGCCTGGCTTCCATGGGCCTGAAGCGAGGGGATCGGAGATGCTGAAGCGATATCGATGGATTGTTGGCGTTAGTGTTTCCTTCTTGATTAGTTTTGCCGTGACTGAGTTATCGCCTGTCTTCTGTGTTTCGGGCAGATGTTTTTCGCTGGCCAGGAAGCGCACGCTAGGGTTATATGGCGACCTTTCTAGGCTCTCTCCACGAAATGGAAGGCCTTTCTGCACGAAGCGAGTGCCTGTGAGGAAGAGTTTGACTGCTAGATTAGAACGAGGGATAACTGCGCCAGCGTCCTTGCCGATGAGAACTTCTGTATCACCAGTGACGTAAAGCACATCCCCGGTATCGAAGTCGGGAAAGACGAGTCCTGCTTTGGGAGAGGTCTGAAAATTACCGAGTGTCTGATATAGGTTGTTGCCTGAGTATTCCGGCCACACCAGGACAGTTCCTGAGTCGCCATTAGATTGGACCCGCACAAAGCCAGGAGATCCCCCACGGATGTTCATATCCATGTCTTTGTCGTGGTCACATGAAGAGACGAAAAGGGTGTCCGCTTTGGCGATGAGTTCTAATGCTTGCCGAGGAAGTATCCGAGAGTCGGAGATGAGTGTTGGCTCGGGAAGCACAGGGTAGATGCGCTTGCAATTGAGGTACTTCGGACAATTGTAGAGACTCTGCTCGATCTTCACCACCAGTTGAACCTCTCCGACGGGGCCGGCAGAGTCCTGGTCGGTTTCTGGGCCAATTCGAGCCAACGCTCCGGCAACCATTCTACCGTACAACTTCAATCTTTTCCTTTTCTCAAGGTTGATGGACAGGGCAGAGACCATCCTCCCAGCGCCTTGTTCCTTGACAACTTCACCATCGTCTTTGCCGCCATAGAGCAGATCTACCACTGGATCAGATCTACTGTCCACCGTCGTGCGTATGCCAATGATCGACTGTGCTACAGGCTGAGCAAGCGGAGTCTCTCCTCCCCATACGGTAGCCCACGGTCTTCCAGTTTCATCGATAGTGCCAAGCGCAAGCAATGGTGCCCTCTGCAACATTTGAGCTGCTCCCGGAACGAGATAAGGGGAGCTTGGGTTCTCTTGATTCTCCGTCCTGGTCAGTTGGTGCATTTTCTCCTCGCCCTTGTGCCATGGCATGCCGGAAAGAACGAATGACATTTTGCATCGTTTCAACGTGAGAGCAAGGTATACTCAACAAGAAGAGAAGTCGAGCAAGGAGCGAAGTGGAGCTATCATATATAAGAGATACAGCATCTTAGTCAGCTCTGTTCTATTTGGGGAAGAAATCAAAGTGGCGTCGGAGCTGATTACCAAGCAACTCAACATCCAAGCCAACCTTATTGGTTTGATATGTTCGTTGTGCAGAAATCGAAGTTTATCGTCTCTAAGATGTTGCTCTTACTGGCCACTCTCGTTGTAAGTTCCTCCCCGTTTCTTCTCCTTCAATCCCTGCTCTGTCTCCATCTTCCTGTCCAGACTCAGCCCCTTAGTCGCCAGACTGAAGACCAATGCCATAAATGCGATCCCGGCCATAGTCACCCATACAACCTTCAAAGCCTCTGCATACGCGGTCACGATCGACCTTCTCTCCGTCGCATCCTCCGGCATGGTTTTGATTACCTGGACTAAGCCGGCCGCATCCCTCGCCAGCTCGGTTGCGTTCCCTGCAACAGTCTCATATTTCCTAAGCTGTATGGCAAACTGGCTCTGAAATACAACGCCACCAACCGCAACACCAACGCCCTGGCCCAATGAGCGTGTGAAAATGTACATGGCTGCTGCGAAACCTACATCACGCTCTAGCGCTGCGGCCTGGCTAGCTAGGTTCATGCTCGAAAATAACAATCCCATGCCCAATCCAGGCACTAGATTTAGGAAGACAAAAGCAGGAACGCTTGTCTCGGGCCCCAGCAGGTACAGCAGACCCATACCCAGTACCGTAAGCGCCCATCCAGACCAGATGGCCCAACGGAAGCGGCCCGTGATGCTAACGAGCACTCCGACGATGATGGATGCTGGTGCGACGGTGAAGGTCTCTGGGAAGACAGCGATGCCGACAATGATGGGGCTGTACGCTTTTACAGCCTCGTAGTAGAGTGGAAGATAGTAGAGCAGACACCAGAGAACAATGCCGTGGACGAACGTGCCAAAGTAGTTGGCGGCTGCTGTGCGGTTGGCAAAGATGCGCATGGGGATCAAGGCTGATTCCGCCTTGAAAGCTTCGAAGAGAATGAAACCGAGAATGCCCGCGATGCCGAAGATGAGAGGGACGAGGGTACGGAAAGAGGACCAAGGGAAGAGTACGCCACCCCATGAAATGGGTATCAGGAATGATGTTGTGGATGCCGTGAGAAGGACGGCACCGGGCCAGTCGAAGCGGAGAAGTTTGTGAACAATCCTGCCTGGGCGGTGGTGGAGTCGCAGGCAGAATGGAAGGGTGAGGAAACCAAGAGCACAAAAGGGAAGGTTAATCCAGAAGATCCAACGCCAGGAGGCTTCCTGGGCGAAGGCGCCACCGATTATTGGCCCTGTGACCGAGCCGATGGCCCATGTCAAGCTCTGGAAGCCAAACCACTTACCCCGCTGTCGCAGCGGGACGAGGTCCGTGATCAGGATCTCAGTCAGAGAAATGATGCCGCCTCCCCCAGTGCCTTGAATGCAGCGGCCAATGATGAGGGTGGTGAAGTTCTGCGCCAGCGCTCCGACAATTGATCCGACAGTGAAAAGACACAGAGCGAGGAGCATGAGGGGTTTGCGGCCGAGAGTATGGGAGAGGGAGGCGAAGGTGGGTTGGAAGACGGTAGAACAGAGTAGGAATGATGTACCCGACCAGAATGCCGAGAGGGCATCGCCGCGAAGGGACGAGGCGATAATCTAGAGTTGAGCGTTAGTCGGTGATTTGTATGCCTGCCAACGAATGGGCTTCTAGAGTCCATGTTCATAGAGGTAGCATACCATCAAGGGGTTTCGAGGGAGCTAGGGATGTCAGCAAGGGGAAGATTACCGGAAGAGCGACAGAAAGCGAAGTCGCATCCAGTGCCACCGCAAGAGTGATGATGCAGAGGCTGATGAATGCAGTGTAGAAAAGCCACCCTGGATCGAATTTCTCAGGTGAGAGTGAAGCCATATTGTCCAAAGCATCCCCCTCCGTCACCAACTGGGGTGTTCTTGGCCCGGAGCTTGTGTGAGAATTCATCTTTGCTGTGGCCATTTCAATTTTTCGAGATTCAGCCATGCTCGGTAGCAAAGGTTGAGCTGGCAAGGTTGCTCCTAGATTGGCCGCAGCAACATTTTCTCTACCACAAAACCTCCCAGAATTTTCATAACAAGGAAACGAGGTTAAGAAGACGGAAAGAGACACGGTGACTGCTCATCGCAGCGAATCCCTGGCATGAAGTGATCAGAAGAGTCGGAGGCAATGAGAGAAAGGAGCAGAAGCTGGGAGTCCAGGATTGGCAAAGTCTGAAGTCGAAGCCGCGGACGCGTTGGGTGTATGGACTGTTAGAGGATGTAGCAAATAGCGTACAGAGATACCAATTGAATTGATTGAGTTACTCCTATCAAGAGGAGCATTTGGCTCACACTAATAGCTATAGAAGCGCATTACTGCAACAGCTCAGAAACAGCAATTGGCGTTCAATTCGTATAGCAATGCTCACTGCCATAAATAACAGGGCGTAAAAGTTACAAGAGCGTTTCGTGCGTTTCGCATGCGGGGACCCCTGTATCATCCTGCTAATACGTAACAGATACGTATCGTATGCGCAGGGATTCTGACATGGACAAGGCTGAAGGATGATGTTTGCAGTACTCCATACTACGTAGTACATGAGAAGCAGTAGGTCCAACACCTGGTTTGTAATACACATAACGATGTACTGTACTCTGCTGATTACTAACTACTACGTAGTAGGGCGGATAAGTTACGCTAGGTCAAGAGTCAGCCACTCACAATGCAGCATTCAGAGCCGCTACGAAAAGCGCTAACCTATACTGGGAGATGACGAATGACAGCCATCCCTTGTGAGTACGTTACTGCTAGCATAACAAAGCTTCCACTGCTTTGAATCAGGCATCCATCACATGTGATTTCAAGCCGTCCTGCCACTCATCGATACAGCCAATACCTGTTTCTTACTCGTACGTCAAGGACTCAAGGTATCTACTCGTGTCCGTATCCCCCCTAGCTGCATGTTCCTCCCATCATGATTTGACCAGGGCTCGAACGATTCTTAGGCTCCGGCAAGGCGTCTTTCCTCCTGCTATTCTCTCGTTTGCATTCATAATGCATTCATAACCAACTCCTCCCATGCCACCCTCTCTCTCATTGCTGTCGGATTATCACCCAGCCGTAATCAAGAGCTTGCCTACTTCTCTGTGCTTGTACAAAGCTAATACTTTATTGTGAAAATGTCTGACAAGCCCCCTTTTCTCTACCTGTTGGCACAATGTTTCTCATTCATTTCAAGCTGTGGCTTCTGTGATACAGCCTTTCTCTACAATTGCCAACTCCATCTCACCTCCTCCCACCATGCTCGCTCTGGGTGGCTGGTGGAACTGGCTTTGTCAAAGTTACTCCCCGTGGCAGGTCGAGTTGGTAGTTACCGTCTTTGTCCAGCTTATCGGGTTCTGGCTACCTGCAACCCTCTACCAACTCGTCGACATTTGCTTCCCCGAATTCTCCAAGGCGCACAAACTTCAGCCTGAGCCACATCGACAGCCTACCCGTGCCGAGATTATCCACTGCATCCGCTACGCCGTCTTAGTCACTCTTGCGGACATTGCTTTCCAAATTGGATTGGGCTATCTGACCGACTTCCGCCCCATCTTCGTCATTACGACTACTCTGCCCACGTTTAAGGAGATGGTGAGACACTTCGTGTGGGGCAACATTGCACACGAGGTGCTGGCCTACTATGTCCATCGTATTCTTCACCTTCCCCGATTTTACGCTCGCTACCACAAGCTTCACCACAGTTTCCCTGCCCCCATTGCATTTACGGGTCTCTATAGTTCTCCAGTGGAACACTTCTTTGCGGACATTATACCAACTGTTTTAACACTCGCTCTTGTGGCTCACTATTATGAACCAGTACACATTCTATCTTTCAACTGCTTTTTGATTAGTGTGCTATTTGTAGGAACGGTGGAACACAGTGGATATGATTTCGCGCAGCCCCCCCTTGTCAAAGGTGCACGATCTGCATCATGAGAAGTTCAATGTACACTACGGTTCTTTGCACTTTATGGATTGGCTACACGGAACAAATGTGCTGAAACGCCATCGCTCGCCGGGGGTAGAAGGGAAGATGAAAGATGTCGGAAGCACAGCTAAGATCTATGCTTGAAGAACAAGGACAACCCCCCTCTTGGTCTTTGTTGAGAGCCTGGAGCACCGTCCGATCCCTGTACCTGGCACATATCTTAAAAGCTGTACTTGTGTTACGTTCAAACGTTATGGTACCTTCTGTCTAGTGAGGATTACCTGCTGACTCATGACTCGAACGGAGTACCTTCATCACTAAAGAGTACAAAATACGAACCGCAAATATAATTGCATATTACGTAGTGATTAGCACATCTCAAAAGATACTATTTGGGTTGTCGAACTATGATACTACTCAGGCATATACTGGTACCGCCCAAAAGTCTCCGCTGGCGTGGTCTCTAGACCAATGAGCTCTCATGAGATTCGAACGATGATACAATCAGACTTTACAAATTGTCGTCAGAGGCCACAGCCACAGCACTATTCTGAAGTCATGCTCGCATTCTGCAACGAACGCAACGTCAGCAACCGCACTGGCGAGAAGACACACCTTTAGAAGAGTGTCACCCTGTGATCTCTATTGCACCGCAATCTTCTTCAGCAGTCCACCACGCCTCTTCACGGCTTGAAGTTGCAAGCAGGGACTTGTACGAATCACCAGGTGGGAATCAAAGTCCAGGTCCCAGGTAGCGCAGCCCACACGCGCCATTGAGGTACTACCACGTACTCCATTGGGCATTCCCATCACTGCACCGCCGTCATGCCGAACCAGCCCCAGGCAGCAATCAACGCTCCCGAAATGATACGGACAATCGCCGTGCTAGGCACATCTTCAAGCCAACACACATAGCCGTCGACCAAGCCGACATATCCAAGAATGGTCAGTTTCGTGTCAACCGCTGCGAACTTCTCCTGGAAACAGAATGTAAATATCGATAGACCTATCGCCGTAATGCGCGCGGAGCTGATGATCATGATCGATTGGGCTGCTTTGGAGCTGGCGATGCGCTCTGGCAGGCCGAATTCCAAGATTGCGTACTCGGCATTGAAGAATGGCATCAGTCCGCCGAAGGTCAAGGCCGTAGCGACGAAAAGGGGAGGCACGTGCCGAAGGGTGAAATTGGTGAACATTGATTGGGCCTGATCAGGCTTGTTGATCAACAATGATATGGCGGCCAAATGAAGCGGGCGTAGGGGAATCAAGTGAATAAGGCGGCGATAGTCCGGTTACTTAATGCTTATGGCATGCTGTCAGAGAGCGACAAACGCGGATCTTGATTTCCGAGCGACGCTGCACAGGAGCAGGCGGGCTGCTGGTTTATCTCCACTCAAATATGGAGGTGAATTCTGGCTATTTACGATGAGGACTGTTCGTTGATTCATGACTTGGTTAGCACTTTCATCCTATAAGGTATTTCACACACATATGGAGTAATCAGGAGTTAAACGGTGATTGGTACGGAGTACTCCGTACATACCGGAAGAAATGCTGTTGTACAATGGCCACTTGGCGAGTGACTTCTTGGTTGGGTGAGGCTTACTAGGGGTCTGGTGCTAGTAGTAGCTAACTGTCGTTACAGGAACACACTGTTGTGATTCGTCGCTGGGAGGTTTGTTTCTTTATGCGTCAATTTTGAGGTTTGCAAATAAAAATACGGAGTACTCCGTACTGGTGCTGAATTAACATTGCTTCAGGCCTCCCCCGTAACTTAGTGGGGCACTTGGAAAGCGCGATTCCGGGCGCAGTCAATGGCGGCAGGGACTAAAGAACACTAGTTATTTTAGGCAGCCCAGCTGTCACAAAGCCAAACCTGCCAAGAATTGCTCAGTCGATTCGAGCAGCCATTCAATTGTACTCGATCACTTCTGCTTTCGCGGAGAGGCGTTGTCCTCTCCGACAACCACTGAAAAGACATCTGTCTGCGCCATCTCCCAAGCCTTTCTTTATCTCATTATACAAATGCGGCATCACGCTCGTTCTATCGCCAGCCTACCTACCTCACCCTTCTAAGCTCCTACTCATATCGTTTCGAGCGAAACCAGGGCTGTATCAAATATTTCTGGGGTCACCAAGGACCTCCGGACCTTGTGAAACCTGCATCCATCAGCCCTCCGTCACGAACGCCTGTTCTTCCTAAGACCGGGCACATAGCGCTCTACCTTCAGCTATGGCCAGATCCAAAATGCGGTCACAGCCATCACCTTACCCAATCCTCCCTTTTCACGCTCTTCGCGCCTGTTCCCTTGTTTGTTCTCTGGTGGTGGCAGCAGTTCTATCATATTTCGTGTACCATCTGAAGCGGGGCAACTTCAAGATTCCATGGACATTCCTGGTGGTGAGTTTATTGTCCTGGGAGAAAGCAACTTCTAATCTCATCCTAGCTCTTCGGGGTCGCACTGCTTTCGCTCCTCAACTTGACTCTGACATTAGCCCTGCATCTTTTCCGTGTACTCTCACCACTCTTCAACCTGGTCTTTAATATCTTCCTTCTGCTTCTATGGGTTGTTGGCCTATCATTGCTGGGATGGAACATGTCAGGCACATTGAGTCATGTTTGCAACAGTGCGAATTGGGGTTCGGCAGCTGGAATCATGATCTGCCGACTCTATAAGACATTGTTCTCTTTCGGTTTGTTCAGTACACTTTCTGCTATTGCATTGGTGGTCTTGGACCTTAAGGTTCGCAAAGATCAGAACAGCCTCGGAAAATACAACCAGATGCGAGACTCGGCTTACGACTTGAAACCAACCTCGCAGGCGTTCAGCACGGGCGCGCTTGGAGGACATCACGAGGACCGTCCAGAGCCATGGCTGAGTGCAGGACAGGAGCCGGCTGACTATAACTCTCGGAACGTTTCCCGAGAGCGTGTTCGATCTGAGCATTTCGGATATACATCGCCCCTAGAGCAGACACATTATGATGCAGGCGATTATGCGAACCAGAGATAGGCACTGAGCGTGATTGTAGGGTTGTGAAACAAACTCAGAGAGCAAGGTTGCGTATGTGGAATCTGGTCAGAAGCTGGGAGATGTGCGATTGGTGTTACGGTGCTCGTCTATATACATCTGCACTGCCAGCGCGGAGTTAAGGGGTACATTGAGCTCCAGGCGGCGGGGTCCGCCAGAATACCATGACTTTTAACCACGTCATCCCATGTAGGAGTTTTGTTATTCAATAAGATTTATTAGGTGGCTCTCTCCTACCTGCTTAAGAGTTCGCAAATTAAGTGATCTCTCTTGGTCTGCCAACAGTGACGTGTTGGGGGTTGAGAGGGGACAAAGCTAAGCTCTAACATAAAGCTCCACATATTCGCATCCACAGACTGGTGCTTCACGGGCAAGGACGATCACGAGAAAACCGAACTCCATTGAGAAATCGAGCCTTCGTCAGCACTGTAAACATGGCACCCAGCATGTCACTTCACAGTGTGATAGCTGTTCTCGTACTCTCACCGGAAGCCGCTGATCCGCGACTCTTTGCCAAATACTACAACGGTCCCCACACCTCAAACAACTCTACCGAGCCAAAGCAGCCGTATGCAAACCTAAAGGAGCAGAAAGCATTCGAGAAAGGACTCCTTGAAAAGACGGCGAAACAAAGTTCAGATGTTATACTCTACGACAACAAGGTTGTTGTGTTCAAAACGGAAGGCGATGTCATGCTATATGTGGTAGGAGGTGCTGAGGAGAATGAGATTCTTCTTTACAACGTTGCGCTGGCACTGCGGGATTCTCTGGCTATACTGTTCAAGTAGGGCATTGGCTTTCTGCGCATTCTCAGGGCAGCTGCTCACCTACGGCTTACAGGAACTCTACGGACAAGCGAACGATCACAGAGAACTACGATCTTGTTTCACTGGCTATAGACGAGATAGTCGATGATGGCATTATCCTCGAAACAGACCCGGTTATCGTGTCGACGCGAGTATCGAGAGCTCCAGCGCAGGACGCACCCAACATGAAGAACATAGACCTCAGCGAACAGGGCTTGTTAAACGCATGGGAGTTTGGAAAGAGGAAACTGGCTGAAGCTGCCAGGAATAATATGTGAGCTACAGAAGCGATCAGTTGGCGCATTTGAGCATTGAGCATGTGCATGGCGTTTGAAAGGCCAAAAGCCGCTTCGGGGAGATTCTCCTCGGGATAGTATAGCTATTGCCAGACAGTGGTTAGGCATAGAGCGCACGGCTTGCCACATTTAGGTCTCATATTAACTGGCAGCGAAAGCCAGCCTAAAAGAGAGCTAGGGCAGCCCGATAAGGGCTTGATCTTCAGGTACCGGACGACGTCAGCATCGCAGATGACAAACACTTTTCTTGCATGCTCAACATAGAGTAGACCCTGCAAAGAGCTTTCCTATTGTTTATGGCTTCCACTTGACTCCACCTATTATCCAATTTCGAAGCTCCTGAACTGCTGGGACGAGGAACAATATGAAGCAGCGTTTCTCCAGCTTAGATGTCAAGGTTCGGGGCATTGCCTATTACTGATCCACTGTATGTCTGACTATCTAATTGCAGGTAATAGTACACGAAATTTCAAAAGCTGTCGTTAATCTCCGGGTATCCAACATCTACGACCTCTCATCACGCATTTTCCTCTTCAAGCTTGCTAAACCTGGCACGCGAGAACAACTCCTCGTTGACTCAGGCTTTCGTTGTCACCTCACAAGTTTCGCCCGTACCACAGCAGCAGCCCCTTCGGCCTTCGTTTCAAAGCTTCGGAAATACCTCAAGTCGAGGCGCATAACCTCGGTCTCACAGATCGGAACAGATCGAGTCATCGAACTCGTGTTTAGTGATGGCCAGTACCGGGTGTTTTTGGAGTTCTTCGCAGCTGGAAATATTATACTCACAGACAAAGAATACAATATTCTCACACTGCTTCGAAATGTGTCAGAAGGAAATGAGGAGGTAGACGTTAAAGTAGGAACTCGGTATCCATTGGCAGCCAAGCAGAACTATGCTGGAATACCGCCACTGACAGAGGAGCGCTTGACGGAGACACTGAGGAATCAGGTGGCCAGAGCGGAGACTTTGGCTGAAGTCAATGCGAAAAAGGCAAAGAAGAAGGGGGGAGACGACTTGAGGAAAGCTTTGGCAATGGGATTCCCTGAATATCCGACACACTTACTGGATCACTCCTTCAAAGAAACGTCTGTTGATGCTTCGGTAAAATCTGCACAGGCTTTAAAGGATGTAGGACTGCTATCGAAGTTGATGAAGGCGGTTGAGCTCTGCGACAGGATCTTCCGAAGCTTAGGTCGCGAAGCCAGCTCGAAGGGTTATATTATTGCGAAGGCCAAAAATGACGGGGCAAACGAGGAGACAGGAGGATCAGAGCGGGATGCCACGGTACCTCCTCGCGAGGACCTATTGTACGATGACTTCCATCCATTTAAGCCTTCACAGTTTGAGGGCAAAACAGGGACCTTCATCATAGAAATTGATGGCTTCAACAAGACGGTCGACGAGTTCTTCTCCTCAATCGAGTCCCAGAAGCTGGAGTCGAGGCTCACCGAACGAGAAGAAAACGCAAAGAAGAAGATGGAGATCGCAAGGCTTGAGCATGAGAAAAGAATTGGAGCGTTACAGCAAGTTCAAGAACTGCATATACGGATGGCTGAAGCAATCGAAGCCAATGCTCACCGAGTGGAAGAAGCGATCGCTGCCGTGAATGGTCTTATTGGGCAAGGCATGGATTGGATGGATATCGCAAAGTTGATCGAGAATGAACAGAGTAGGCAGAATGTGGTTGCTCAAATGATCAAGCTACCACTCAAGCTCTATGAGAACACCGTCACGCTCCTGCTCGACGAAGCATCTTTTGAACAAGAAGAGGACGATGGAGGCTACGAAACGGATGAGCTGGAAGAATCTGATGATGAAGAGGTCACTGTAAAAATAAAATCATCCACCGAGAAGAGATTGGCCATCGATATTGACTTGGCCCTGTCTCCTTGGGCAAATGCGCGCCAGTATTATGATCAGAAGAAGACCGCCGCTCAAAAAGAGCAAAAGACGTTGCAAGCATCAAGCAAAGCTCTTAAAAGTACGGAGCAGAAAATCAGTGCGGATCTGAAGAAAGGACTCAAACAAGAGAAAGATGTGCTTCGCCCTGCGCGGAAACAATTCTGGTTCGAGAAGTTTTGGTATTTCATTTCTTCCGACGGCTATCTTGTCCTGGGTGGTAAAGATGCCCAGCAGAATGAGTTGTTATATCGAAGATATCTTAAGAAGGGAGACATTTATGTTCACGCAGACTTGCAGGGCGCCGCATCTGTTGTCGTAAAGAATGCAATCGATACGCCCGATGCCCCGATTCCACCATCCACACTCTCTCAGGCAGGTTCTCTGTCGGTGTGTACCTCAACTGCATGGGACTCAAAGGCAGTCATGGCCGCGTGGTGGGTCCATGCAGATCAAGTGTCCAAGACGGCTCCCACAGGCGAGTATCTCAGTGCTGGTGGTTTCGTGATCAAGGGTAGTAAGAATTTCTTGCCGCCTGCTCAGTTGCTTCTCGGATTCGCCGTTGCATTCCACATCAGCGAGAGTAGTAAGAAGAATCACCAAAAGCACAGATTTCAACACTCAGATACGACAACCCCAAACACTCAAGCGCAAGGCATGAGCGACGAAACGGGCAGACTATCCATTGAAGAAGAAGCCGAATCCTCAGACCACGAGCTGCACGGAGAAAGTGATCAAGAGCAGGCAAAAGATAACGAAATAGAACCCAAAGGGGGGCCACAGAACAGCGAAGATAAGGAGGGCAGTGAACAAGAAAGCGCCAATGAATCAGATCCGGAGCATGATTCAGAGGCGGAAAGAGAAGACCGTACACAGGCTACAAATCCACTTCAAACAGAAGCTATCCTCGAAAATGCCCAGCCATTGGGTGAGGACTCTGAGTCCAGCGACGAGCAATCCGAAGAACCCGCACAAGCCATCGAAGATATCGAAGACATAGAAGACCCCACTGAAACAACCACCTTCAACACAGCAACCTCAACACCAACACACTCCCAACCCACCACCACCCAAACTCCCTCCACGCCATCCACCCCAGCATCCCAAAAACAAACCCCCGCTCCCCGCGGCAAACGCACGAAAGCCGCCAAACGCGCCGCAGCTAAATACGCACACCAAGACCCCGCCGAACGAGCCCTCGCGCTCCAACTCCTGGGCAGCACCAAAGGCGCCAGCGAAAAAGCCCAAGCCGCCACCATGTCCAAAGCCGCACGAGAGGCCAAGCTAGCGGCAGACAAAGAACGAAGGAAAGCCCAACACGACCGCGCCGCTGCGGCTGAGAAACGGAGGATGGAAAGACTCGAAAAGGGCTCGGCAGCCGCCGACGGCCAAGACGGCGAAGACGAAGCAGAGGAGGACAAGGAAGCGGCGGAGCAGGAGAGGAGAAAACTGGCCAACCTCGACTCCCTCGTCGGCAACCCCATGCCCGACGACGAGATCCTCGCCGCCCTCCCCATCGCCGCGCCTTGGTCCGCCCTGGCCCGGTATAAATACAAAGTTAAATTGCAGCCCGGGGCGCTGAAGAAGGGGAAGGCGCCGGATTAGCGTGACAAACGAGGTCGGAAATCCTAACAGGCTTGAGTGCGTGCAAGAACTCGGGTTTCATATCCGGGGGTGTTATCCAGCCGGTACTTCCGTTCTCGGTGAAGGAACTGACAGACTGCGGTGTCATGACATGGTCTTGCCACTCCCTTCGGCGCCTAGCGCACCATTCTTCCCTGCGAGCTTCATCGTGAGGCGGCCAGCCGAGCATCTCGCAGATAATCTGAAGGGGGCTTCGAGGGGTGGGAAGGGAGGTAAGAAGACGAAATAGTAACACTACTCATCCCTAACATCCATGACACATTTCTTGAAATGATTGGTTCTATCATTTATTTTCCCGGCTAAAGATCCTGTCCTGCTTTCTATCCATCTATACTACAGCCTACCCAACTACGCTCACAATGCGTCGCAATGCAATGCAATACAACACAATACCACCCCGCCCCACCCCCCACTCCGCAGCTGAATTGATGTGATAAGAGTAAGAAGAACAGGGATATAAGAAAATAAGAACGCAGATCTTCAAAGCCCTTCCGAGGCTCCCGCCGACTCCTCGGCATCTTCCTCCCCATCCTCAACCCCTTCGATGAGAATGACGTCGCACCCCCTCGCGTCGAGCTCGCGCAGTGCGGAGAACAGGCCTCGGGCTACGTCTTCGATGGCGGGGCCGAGGGCGAGGCTGTGCATCTGGTGGTGCTTGGAAGGAGGGGTGGGAGGAGTGGTGGTGGTTGTGGTGGTGGTAGTGGTGTTTGGGTTGGGGTTGGATGTCTGATTTGGGGGAGTAGCTGAAGGGGAAGGGGAGGAGTTTGCGATGTGGAAGGTGGATACGGCGAGAGTGGGGACAGAGTCTTTGGGATTGGAGTTGGAGTTGGAGAGGTTTGGGGGAGGTGAAAGGGAAAGGCCGAGGCCGAGGTCCGGGCGCCATGTTTGGGTGGTTATCACTCCGATGTTGAGATCAGGGTGAGCGGGTTGAGATGGTGAGGCGAGATGATCGTTGCAGAGAGAAAGGATTCTCGACCGGGCCTCGTTCTCGGAAGATGTTGGGTCTTCGAAGAGATGGACCCGTGCGCGAGGCGCGTAGTGTCTGTATTTCATGCCTGGCGCTCGTGGGACATGGCCACGGCCATGCATTCCATTGGTGTTAGTCTGGACTGCACTTCCATCCGTGTAAGCGTCAACCTTCCCATCACCATTCACACTAGCCCATTGATCACGGTCCTGATATCCTACCACCACATCCGTCCAAACCCCTCCCAGTCTTCGGATCTCCTCAAATCCCACACCCCCCGGCCTCAGCACCGCCGGCGGATAACACAGCCCATCCACGACCGTACTCTCGACCCCAACTTCACAGCTTCCGCCGTCCAAGATCATCTCGATCCGGCCGTCGAGATCATGGAGTACATGGGCTGCGGTTGTGGGACTGGGTCGAGTGGAGGCATTTGCGGATGGTGCGGCTAAGGGGCGATTGGACAGCGATATCAGGAGACGCGCTAGAGGCGAAGAGGGCATGCGTATGCCGACGGTTGAGAGGGTTGTGGTAACCTCAGGTGCGAAGGGGGAGGTTTTGGGGAGGGGGAAGAGAAGGGTTAGGGGCCCAGGCCAGAGTTTGCGGATCAGGGGTTGGTAGATTGGGGGGATTGGGTCGTCATTCTGGTCCGAGGTGGTGGGAATGGTGCCGTTGACATGGCTGATGTTGGAGCAGCGGTCGTCTTCTGCTGCTAAGGGTGGCTGTAGAAGAGCCCTGAGTTGACCTAATGATCCGACATGCACAATCAATGGGTTGTCTGACGGTCTTTGCTTTGCAGCGTAGATACCACGTACTGCTTCGGATCGAGTAGCGTCTGCACCCAGCCCATAAACCGTCTCGGTAGGGAAGGCGACGGGTACTGAGGAGGTTTGCAGGACACGAGCTGCTTCCAGAAGACGACTGACTTGGTCTTGAGGAAGACTGTCTTTCTTGTCATACCACCAGTCCAGCAGACTGGTCTCAGAATCGACGTGAGGAGGCTGTATGGCTGTCACAGGCAAAACTCGTGTCTTCCGCTGCGTCATGCTTGAGATTCTCCTGTGGCAATGGCAATGAAATCTCTCCCAAGAATATCTCGAATGAAGGTGAAACCTAGCCGGCAAGATAGTGTTTGCAAAGATTTAGCTTCTACTGTGCATTGCGAAATGGGATGTAGAATAGCTCCCGATAGACGAAATGTATAGAAATTGCTGGATTCTGCTCATAAACCTTGCTGACGCCCGTATCTTGTTCTATCTCAACTGCTGACTCTTGGTGTTGAGTTCGTGATGAGCAAACTCTATTGCTTGTTACTAACATCATCCTTGTAGTGTCATCCCAAGCTCTCTGGCGCCGAAGCCTATGTCCAGCCTAAAACGCCACAAGAAAAGCCACTAATCTGTCCCCTAAGCCACCACTATTCTAGGGCCTCCGGGCACTTTGGCTTCCAAAAATCAGACGGGTGCCAAGGGTCATCCGATGCCCCACTGCAGTGCATCGGGCGTCAGTAGACCCGAAGCTTATAGAGGGAGAAATTCAATGGCATAACTAACTGTCAAAGGTGCATATCTTGGCAAACTATGTCGTCGCGTATTTTAACTACTTTTGATGCACGAACTCACACTCTCTTCTACTAGAATCACGTCTAACTTGGGATTATAAAATTAGTATTGGAGATTCTGTGTCATTTCTCCCTTCTTTCTCTTCTGTTGAAGTGCCGTCTTTAGAGGAGGATCCTGCTCACCAGCTGTGGTGCTGTTGTCTGCGGTCTAAATCTATCCAGATGCCTCCAGTAATTGTCTAATAGCATTTCCTGTCTCCAACCTCAGGAGAGGAGGACACGTGACTCACCAGCGTGGCACTAAGTCGCTTTGGGAATTTGGCTGTACACATATCCTCATATCCTCTTGAAATTGAAGCATTGTCAGGGGCTGTAGCGGATGGGAGTGTCCACTACTTACTCCAGCCATTGGAGTCTTGTGCTGGTTGTACTTTGAGGATGAAGAGCGCTGTTGAATATCAGATCGATATCCTGTCGTGCTTCACTGGGATCTGTGGCATGAGACAATCTGATAGCTAAGTTGGCGATGTGACAGTTCTGTCCGCTAGAAGTGATTGTTGTGCACAAGCTGCTTTTCAATTTCCTGTATAAATCACTCGCGTTTGATTCATGTTTGATGAAATGTCAAGCTTATACAAAGCACGTGCAGCTTTGTCGTCTCTTCACGACAGCACTGCTTTTGCTGACCGAAGCAGTACCAAAGACAAGACATCCCGAACCACGCTGAAGGGTTGATAACAAATGTGAAGTTAAAGTAAGTGGCAGGCCTTGACCGTCCTGTTCGCTCGGGAGACCATGTGCATCCTGCAAAACGGTGTCCCGAGCTTTAGCCTCATCAAGAGATAGACCGGTTCTGGCTCCTGTGACTACTTCTGGTGTGAGCCAGACGGCGTGATGGCAAGATGTTCGGCAGCCTTTCGGACTTGTAGCACTGCTTCTGTCGTCCAAGTGGTAAGTAATCTAGCCTTCAAGTGTTGTATCGGACGCGTTTTGTACAACGAAGAACCGGAGTGTGTACCGAGTCAAGCAGATTGGTTGTAGTGTCTTGTGGGAAGTTGTCTGACATGGAGCGCTTTCGCTTGTGACATTCCGCAGCTGTGGAGGCGGCCCGAAAGATACGTTTCGAGCCAAGATGCTTGCTGTCAGTCGAAGATTTTGCTATGATTCTGTTGCCGTAGCAATCCAGCGCCCAAAATGTGTGCTCAGCCGATCTTCTGCCAGTGGAGCTTGTCGACGGTTCGCTGTTCTCATAGCCCTAATACTCAGGTGAATAACCATATTCGCGGTAAGAAGGCCTTAGGTGGGAGGATGAAACTGTCTCGGCCGTAGGTGGAGAAGGTGACAAGGGGAGCGATGTTGTGCCCGGATTAGCGTGACAAACGAGGTCGGAAATCCTAACAGGCTTGAGTGCGTGCAAGAACTCGGGTTTCATATCCGGGGGTGTTATCCAGCCGGTACTTCCGTTCTCGGTGAAGGAACTGACAGACTGCGGTGTCATGACATGGTCTTGCCACTCCCTTCGGCGCCTAGCGCACCATTCTTCCCTGCGAGCTTCATCGTGAGGCGGCCAGCCGAGCATCTCGCAGATAATCTCATCCTCGAGAGCCCACTTCGGCCTGAATTCCCACAGTGGTAGAAGGGGTTGTGTATCCAAGTACTCTCTCGTCTCCCAGTACTTCAAGAGCCCGTCGCCTGATTTTCTCCTTGACTCCCACCTCTCCTCCCCAGATTCAATGTCATTCAAGCGGTGCAGAAGCCGCCAAAAGTCCACCTGATGTTGCGGCTGGGCACAGGGAGGATCGCGCGAGCCGACTTGGGTTTCCAGTCAACAGGCATTGATAATGTCACCACAGCGGCGGCAGGAACAAGGGAAGACCTCATAGGCAGGTGTTCTTGAAGATTCTGGTGATCTTTCGACTGTTGGTTTCGGTCCGGGACCGAAGCTATGCATTGCTTTAGCAATACTCCTCCGTAGCGGTCGAGGGAGAGGGAATCGAAGTTCGTGGTTGGAGACTAGTCTTGGCAGATTGGTGCGCCGGTGTACTCTCCAGGGCGGAGTAGTTCATCGTCGAGTAGAGAAATTTATGTTGTTGCAAAGTCAATAGCCATGAGATTGCTAATAATTTGGGCTTCCAAGCAAAAGAATTATATATACCCGGTAATTCCACCCCTCAAATGACCTACATCGATTTGCTTTTTCAGGCCATTTCCCAGTGTCGCACCCCAACGGAAAATTGAAAGACAGCTGAAGCTAAAATGTTCTATCCGGATCGTTGGATCCAGGAGGCTGGTTTTGGAGATTGTATCTTGATTGAGCTCCACATTGGCAATCAGACATTCACGAAGGTCTTGCATTTTGCACATATATTCATTTTCCATCGGCTATTCTGCAGTCTCGGTAGGGCGAACACCACATGCAGTTGGCATTGGCAGAATAGTGCTCCCTGGGAGACCGGTTCTAGTAGGACATTGAGGAGCCCACATTTGTTCCCACAAGCAAATCAAAGACAATGGTCGGAATTAGTTCGTAGATAGTTCTAGTCTATAGCTTGTTGATTTCCACAGTCTGATTGATTAAGTATATATGATAGACGTGAGTTGCTCTTTTCAAATGACTCCTGTCTTCTGACCAATTTCGGTGGCGGGGCCCCAATGTTTCTAATTCGGGCGATTTCCACATCAGGTTATCATGAATCCAATCTGTATTCAATCCATGCTTCCTCGTTTCCACAAGTAACAGCAATGGATGGCTTGCGATGACCCCACGGATACAGTCCCCAATAGTCCAGAGCCTCTGTATACGGGCTTCAAAGTCTTTGCTACACTGGATTCCTGAAACTGGCCAGGTAGTAGGAGTATGCTAAGCTATGTCATACCAAGCACATGCTCTACTTCCAAATTGAGCCGCGGTCAAAACTGTCCTACGTTCTGTGGTAGATTGGGAACCTTCTGAAACGAGCTGAGCCAGGGGAACCCACCAGAAAATCAGTGATGCATATGGCACATGCTCTGCCCAGGGAAGTGAACCTGCACGAGCGTGTGTTTTAAGATGATGGAAGCCGGACTTGTACTACTAGTACGTAGAGTGGCGGAATTCCTTGGACAAGATTGCCGAGCTGGAACTTGGGCGAAGAAGCAATTAACCTGAGCTAGCAGGGCCGAAGCATCGGAAAGATACGAGAGTTAGATCAGAAAAGGGATGCATCAAACACTCCACCGAAAGGACAGCGCTTGTGGCTTTGAACCCCACTTAATTGATGTTTCCCCACAGACTAGATCTGGAAGCTGAACAGTCCGTCATCAAAGGCGGGCAGAGCGGGACCTCCGTGAGCACTAAAATGCTTGACCAAGAGAGGAAAAGCATAGGGGAACGGACTGAAAGCTACTTCGACAAGTAAGGCGCTAGTTGGGCGAGAGCTAGCTCCAGCGAGATGGTCCTGCAAGACTAGCTGGGCAGGCTTTTGTAGAAGAACACTCTGACGACCAAAAGTGGCCATATCTGACCCTATTCCTGCGAATGCCCGCAGCTATGACAGAATAAGTTAGATGAACGCTATTATCTGCGAAAAGGATTTTAGCCACGTTTCAAACACACGTACTATGTTAAGTCACTTGCCGTCACTTGCCCTGCAGAATGTCAAATGAGGTGTAGACCAATGAAAATTGACTGGTGCCATGCAGAATTGTCCCACCTTGCAGATGGCACGGCCAGGCGCATTGACTAAGAACTTAGATGAACATTTAGCAGCCCTAGCTATGCAAGATCGCTTGGAGGCGCATGTATCGTCATCAATCAAACCAATTATCGACTCAACCAGTGCCCCAGCTGGTTGCTTTACGTAGTAGAAAATATCTGGGAGGTGTGTAGTTCGAAACAAGAAGTCGCCAGCTCTGCGAAGGAATGTCGAAACGACGGACTTGGAACTGTTACTAACTAACCTACCCAACTGTCATACGTAACTTAGTATGCACTACACTCTCATACTTGCAACCAAAAATACTTGGCGTTTTGGGTTCTCGGAGCACAAGTATTTCTATTTATTCCGAACGCTTGCTGGTCCTATTTTGCAAACATAGAATTGAAAGAAAAAAATTGGTTCTAGAAAACAATACATCAACAGGGTCAGGGCCATCGGCTAGATATTCCTTAAATGGCGGCGAGCTGAAATTTGGTGGCTTGCATATTCGGTAGGAACGGAGATATCGGGCCTCAAAATCGCGCATATGGGGAACATAGTGCATATGACAGTTAGTTAGGTATGTTACGTGGCAAGACTACTCCGTACTACGTATGCTAGTTAGATTTCTCGTTGATACCTTCACTTTGATCCGCAGATCCTTGGTCACGAATTTCTGGCTAGTTAGCCCTTGAAGCCGTCCGGCGTTTCCGCTGGAATCGAACCTCTCAACGGCCAAAGGACGCTTCCGCATCATTCTGGCCCAGAGCCTAAGTTTCGAGATGAACTGGATTCTCCTCAACCACCTCTGGACAAAAATGGCGAGGGCGTCGCCGCCACAATAACTCAATCCTGCCTATTCCGGGCACTGGTAGACTATTACTGGTACACACAACTACTTCACCCAGAGCAGACAAGCTCTATCAGGCTATCCAGTTCTACCCCGGATCGTCAATGCAGAGGTCCTTTCCCATCTCGATCCAGAAAGAGCTCCGGGAGACGGAGATTGAGCTTCTGCAACGGGGATCTGGAGGCTGAGAATGAGATTCTGAAGCAGGATGTAGAAAAGGGTAGGTTGGAAGGGCATTGTGGTGCGTTGGTGAAGATGGCGCAGGAGATAGGAGAGAGAGAGAGAGAGAGAGAGAGAGAGAGAGAGCGCGGAGAGATTGAGAGGAGGTGTTGTAAGGAGTGCATAACAAAAACAAAATACCCAAAACCCAACATTAAGGACCCCAGTCATGTATACATTGATTAATTAAGTAGCAGAAGCGTGACGCTGGGAACGTCATCAGCGTTGATCCTGAGGAAGTGGCTAGAAATAGACCTTTGTTTGAGTCTTCCGGGTGGTCGCCAAACGGGAAAGCACATTGACCAATGCACTTATATCGTTTCCATTTTCCTCCTCCTTCTCCTACTCCCAACAAGCAGCAAGATCTTTGACCAAACACCAAATCTCTCTCCTTCGAGTGACACCAAATATGATTGACAAGTTACATCCTATTCGTCTAAACTTTTGCATCGTTTCCCATGTGATGCCGCCCATACCCCCCATCTTGAACCCACTCCTCAGTCTCGGAAGCGTAAGGGAACTTGGTCACATCGCTGCCTTTTGTTTGGGATTGAAGAAGCTCAAAGTCATCAGGATGATAGAGAGTTCCGACCTGGCTATCATCACTTGTCGAACGGGGGACCACGGTGCTGTCACCGAGGGGTTTCTGTCCGCCGCGGAATGACGGTCTGCTGCCGCTGGTTTTGGTCGACGAGAAGTATGAGAAGTATGAGAAGGTCTTGTAAAAATCCTTGCGAGTGCGGGGAATGATGACGCCCAATGCCGGAAGATTGGCGGCGATGACTCCGCAGGTCAGATCCACTGAGGTCCATGTGAAGAGGTCTACATAATTGTCTAGAAGAGTGAGCTCGGTCAGCAATGTTGAGCGTTTTGGCAGTCAAGCTGGGGAGAGCGAGACTGACATAAAATATCCGTCTTGAGATTCGCCTGCTCAATCTGTCTGAGCACACTGCCAATACAGGACATGGCTCCAACACCAAAGATAACGAAGAAGCGGAACTTGGCAGACCAGCGCATCTGGACCTTCCATAGCACAATAATTGGCACCGACAGAAGGCAAAAGTCCATCACCACGTGTATGGTGCTTAGGCTGATCCCGATTTGGTTCTCAGACAGACATTTCTTTGGCGAATTGAGTTTTCCCGCGGCAATCAGGTCAAAATTGGCTTCTTGGGGGTTGCATTGAAAGACAACCATGAGAACGGCGCAAAGTGTGTAGATAACCAACAAAGCAAAGAAGGTCCAGTGGGCAATCATCCACCGGGAAGAGGTCAAGCCAGTCAACCGCCTGTTGAACATGACGATAGACATCTTGATGACTCCAACAGAAACGAAGAAGAACATTTTGCCAATATTTCCTAGCTAGATAAATAAGTCAGTCTCAAACGTTCCAGTGCATGTCCCATATCGCTCCTACCATGGTGGATATGTAAAACTCGTGATACGTTATATCATAGAGATGTTTACCGCATCCGCCATACTGAGCCACCGCAATCTGAAGCGCTGTATAGGCCACAGCCAAAATCTATGGTGACACATGAGTTAGTCAAGCCTCCATTCTGCAAGGGTATTCATTGAGGTAAGTCATACTACACCCGGTACGATGAGATAATCATCTGCGCCCCATCGCAGACCTGACTTGAACGACCGTAACAGGATACGGGTGATGGTAAAGAAGAGCATAGCACCAATGGCGATAGAGGCACCGGTAATCATTTCAGGTCCCCGTGTCTCGAACACATATTGATCTGGAGGTGGACGGAAAGGGGGAAAGCTAGCCCCTTGACTTGGATCAACATTCTCTGCCGGAATGCCTGCAGCGAGCAGGAAGTACCGAACGATCCAGTAGTCAGATTCGGTCGCTGGCGGCGTGCCAATGAGAGCTGACTCTGGCATTCTTATGGGGAGATGGGTGGACTTTGATATAAAAAGCAGAGCAGCACAGCTTCGGAAGGGACGGAGCGGAGACAACAGCAAAAGCACCTTGGAGTATAGAACGATGGAGGAAAGGCGGGTTGGTGAAGATTATATGGACTCTACAACAAAGGACCAGAAGGACCGTGGCTTGAACCTCGAATTTCCTCCATTGACCGGATCATGGTTTGGTGATAGATGAGGAAAAACCAATTAGTGGTGGTTGCGGGGCCCCGCGTTCCAGGGAGTGAATCTGTGGAGGATAGACCGATTGACAGGATATCTACCCTGTAACTATGGCTTGTTTTAGGTTTTTCACTAGTAGTAGGTACAATTAGCTCATATTGGGTAGTAAGGCAATCGGTTGAGCAACTAAAGTTTTGGCCTGGGGCTACCCAAATCTCTAGGTTGTGACAGTCTGATGGGCTTGATAGAGAGCTGTGTCGCGTGTATGTCGGCTTCAGACAGAAATAGAACCAGATTGGGCACAGTGAAGATGTATATGCTTTTAACACGTCGTCTCATCGTATGGTATTGGATGAATAAGGTTCAGATGCGTCATTCAGCCTTGTAAACTTGAGATAACTGATCCTGTCAATCGTGTCAAACCTGTCAGACCACGTCCAATCTGCCAGACCTGCCAAAGGAGGAAACTGTTCAGCTGAGCCAGACTTGGTCGTGGAGTCAAACCATGTGTCGAAGGCGTCACCTGGACCCAAAAAGCCAGGATACTGATTGTACCATACTGTTGGAACAAAGGACCGAGGATCGAGCTTGCGTTTGACACCGCCACCAGGAACTTTCGTTTCTAGGAGATTGTTGGTGGAAACGCTTTGCTTCCCTTCCATCCTCGTTCGGAACCGAAGTCGTGAAGAGGGGTGCTTTTGTGACCGGATGGAGCTAAGCGGGTCGAGCTTCGGCAGTAGCGGGCAGTAGCGGGCAGTAACGAGACAGGTCGTTGGACCAAAGGACCGCGGCTCTCCGTGCATCGCGAACGAAGTACTCTTTGACATATCCTAGTACGTAGTGGATTTGGCTCCTTCCCGGCATGATTGGGTTGAGGTTAAGGATCGGCACGTGTAGCTCGTACTGAGTAATGTAACTAATATATTGTGGCTGAACTCTCATGAGGTTTCGTAGGATCCATGAAAACTTTCTCCCCACTTTATTACCAAGCTTAGACACCTTGCCAAAGTTTGGGGACAAAAAGTCTAATTCTAGAGTGTTATTGGGTCTCCCTATCCGAAAGAAATACATAATAATAATTGAAATTTTGGTAAAGTATCCAAATCTTTATGAGATGGCCGGCCCCTGATAGAGAAGTCGGCGAGGAGCAAATTCTGGCGACTGGCTTATGATAGTCAAGACTTACTTGGATTGATGCACCTGGGCGCTACGTACCTAGACGATGCACCTAGTGGCTATATACTTTAGAAGGCGATTGGTCCAGGGGAGTTCTAAGACGCTTACAACTGCGATCTTGCTTTTCTACTTGGTAGAAAAGCGGGGAACTTGAACAAACCTCGAGTGTAACAAATCACCAACTACTGGTGCCACGCAGTTAGTAGATACGATGAAGGTAAGAGGGAGAAACCGTGATTAATTGATGAGCTCAATGCCCCGAAACGGAAGGTCCTTGACTCTCTGTGAGGCTATGAATAAAGCTACTACATAGTAGGCTTCAGTAGTGTGCTTGACTGCTTGACTCCTGGACAGATCGACAGATTTACTACGTAACACTCGATTTCAACAAGAAGCAAGGACTCTCCCACAGCTTCACAAGAAGCATGTCTCATTTCTTGCAAGCACCGGCCACAGCTTCGCAAGAAGCATGTCTCATTTCTTGCAAGCATCGCATGCTCTCTTGATGAACTGCGCAGTCTCCAGGGGGCGGCTCAAAAATGGACAATGACCAGCATTAATCTCCTGACTTATTATCATTTGATTTCCTGTACCGGGACCTCCAAGTTGGTCCAAGTATTCTCGAGCTTCTCTGATCCAACCTCGCTGGACTTCGGGCCTCAATGTCTTGTCTTGTGCAGTGACGAGATACCAGGACGGGATGTCCTTCCAAGCTGCATAGTTCGCCGCCGCCGTATACGTCGCCCCTGACTGAGGTTGGAGTTTACTGACCCAGAACTTGCCTTCCTGGGCCGACAGATCACTGTAAAACACCTCGGCTGGATTGCTGGTGTTTTTGAAGAAGACATTTCCGTCAGGCAAGAATTCGTACTCGAGGGAATTGGGGCTGCCGCCTTGAGCCTCGACTGCTTCACTTCCAGCGACGCCCTCACGAATTATATAACTGGCAATATAGACGATGGCCAAAACTCGCCCTCCTCCAGGACTTTGGGGTTTATCTAGACCCCTGAGAGCCTGGTTTGTCGGCACACCTCCGTACGAATGACAAACCACAACCACGTTACGACCTTGTTGCGTCTCCGCGAGAGCTGTGTTCCGAATAACCTCAACATCTGGCTCAAGAGACGTGACTGGTGGCGACCTTCCAACAGAAGCTAGGCTAATCTTCCGACTCCCGAAGCCTTCGTTAGAGAGGATTGCAATCACTTTGTCAAAGATGATTGGTTGGTGCCACGCTCCTGGAACATATAGGATGGTTGGCTGCGCTTTGACTTGTTGGGAGGTAACGCCGCCATTCTGCATGACGAGAAATACAACGAGAAGTAGAGAGAGGATGGAGCGCATGGCGATTAAATGGTCAAGTGTGCAGCCGGGTGCGGCGGTGGAAAGATTTTGATGGGTTGATCTTCAGGCGCTGGAATTCCTTTGAAGGTGAGCAATGTTTCGAAAACTTGTTCATGACCCAGATGGAGCGCAACATGAGCGGCCAAATACTGTCCCTAGAGCTGGATCCAGAGCTAACTTAGGTGCCTGTCAGGCTGTGGCAAAACAGGGTCGGTGACACAAATATGTGGAGTGGTTAGCCACCTTAGGTCCCTATAAAACGACGCCAAAATTATGACCCAAGGGCGGCGTGCTGCGTCTAAAAGACAATAGGCACATATTATTGGCTAATAGGATCCTGATTACTACGCCAGTTCTTTAGAGCCGTTTTCGAGGATGCAGACAATATTCCGTGTGTCACTGATTAGGCGACCTTCCTTATCAGCAATGGCGTTCCCCGCGTTCCTCAAGTCACAATCTTGCTGTAGTCTTGACAGACAAAACATCAAAACATTAAGTATTTTAATACTTAATAGACATATTATTCGAACTTTGGAAATTTAAGAATGATCGGAAGCTTAAGAGCTACTAGATGATGCCATTTTAAATATATTCGTCGAACATTAAGAGTGATGAAAGCAAAAAAGCATTAAAAGATCACATGAACTTGGTGTTTCTTTTGCTAAGATTACAGCAAACTAATTGCGTTATTTGAATCTAAAATACAAAGTTCGGATGAAATGGCTCCATAGACGCCAAGGCCCTACAGTGCTATCTTAATGCGGAGGGAGGCCCCACTTAGTATTACAGGAGACAGCATTACTACTTAGTAGCAGAAAGAAGCCCCCCTTTAAAAAGTGGTAAGAGAGCCGTCAAAGTGCGCTTAGAGTTAGCCTAACTGTAAGATTGCTTAGAGTGTACCAGGATATGTAGCTAAGGCACCTGTAATCCAATGAGATTCCATCGTTTAGCGACGTTTACAACGTTATTTGTCAAAAATATGGTTTTACTATAGTCAAAATATGTCTCTTTGCTCATACTAATATGGTCCTCATTTGACAGAATAGTTGCCATTCCTACTAATGGCACTTAGCCCACATTTTTTTACTATCTCTTCTCCTAGTAAGTAGGCTAGGGGGCATAAGTAGTTGTAGCAAGGCCGTATGGAGCAGTATGGCTCAAAGCATCCATTTGGTAGTGTGTGTGACTATCTGCTAGAAATCCGAAAATACCAAGTTCGGATGAAATAGCTCTATTGGCGCCAAGCCCCAACAGCGGTAGTAGCAGAGCGTCACATCCGACATTGTCTACTAACATAGAAGCTCTTTGACGGTTGTTCATATCGATTGGCCACACCAGTACCGCCTAACTATTCAAGGCTTAGATATCTCGTTTCGGAGCCTGTTGGGTGCATATATACTAGCGCCGTGCTACGAATACTTATGCCTACTCCTGTACGAACGGTACCAGACATAAGTATCTCTAGTAGGGCGTTAGTAGTAACTAATTTAGATGCGGCTGTGGGGCCTTGGCGCCTATGGAGCTATTTCCTTCCGGACTTTGTATTCAGATTCCTAGATACACACCACAATCGATGCTCAGAGCCATTCACCTCCACACAGTGCCACATCAGTATCTTGAAGCTTCTTAGACGATTGTCCATAGTAATTGGCCACCTCAGTACCGTTTAACGTCGAACGGCTTAGCTGTCTCGTTTCCAGCCCGTTTTCATGCAAAGATACTAGTGCCGTGCCAAGAATACTCCTGCCTGGTACTGTAGTAAGTATGTTAGCATGGACTACTAACTAGTCGTAGTTAGTTTTCGCTACAATGGCCGGACACCCTCTGGTATGGCAGTAAGTCTTGACCCCTCAGTAATGATAGAAATTGGTCCTATTTAGAGATCATGTAGACTAATTCAAGAAAATAAGTCATCTTGGTCAAGATAAAAATAGATTAATAATTTGGGAGACAACCTACTCGTTTTTTAGTTCTTGACCCACGACATGCTAGAGCACGGCTGAGAATTCAGGCAACCAATGTTGAGCTATCAAGAAAATGGTTGATGAAGGTCCGACCAAAGAGGACGTAAGACTCGGTCAAGACTGGTGTGCCAACGCCTTAGATTCTGCAGTTGAAAGGATCTATGATGTTTGAAAAGCCATGTGACACCAAAACCGTAGCCACATCATCTTCCGAAGACTCAATCTTCCACAATAACCAGATCAGAACTTACAGACTTGAAATCCAGAATGAGATCCTTTTTGACGAATAGGAAAAGCATCCTTTCGACAAGACGGTACGAATGTTTCGAGACACCTGTGATAGAGAATTTTTGAAGGACGGTGTTTTGACAATCCCAAGACCAAATCCAGACTCCACGGGTTCCAGTGAGGTCTTTTAGATCCCAAAGTTCGAAAGAAGCGCGCCTGTAGGCTTCGAATATTGATTGAGCATCAACGATGGCTTCGGCGTCTGCGGATGAGAAGACGTAATGGGCGTACGCAGCTCTGATAATTGCCGCCCACGCTGAACTAGAGACTCGAGATCTCTTCTGCTCCAGAATTTACGTCAATGACCTTCAGCCCAGGGTCCTGTACGCAATCAAGTCGATAACTTCCTGAATCGTCGAAATTTCCAGCGCACGCAAAATTCAGTATCTGATACTATGACATACAAGTGATCTCGGACGTCCAAAGAGTACGGCACGGCGTATGTCCAGCATGCATGTCCAAACCAATGTCGCTCTGATGATAGTGAAGTCCGGTGAGCTACAGCAAAGGATCTATGGTCTAAGGATCATATACAGAGCAGCTTGACTGGTAGTTATTCGCTTCATCTCGTCGGCTCCTCCCAATGTACGCCGAATAACCCACTGAGATACCATGTCAAGAATAGTGGTCATTACATTGATGAGCCGAGTATCAATAGACGCTGGAACAACCACAACATTGACGGTGCTTCTGTCTCCTGTCCACGGGATGTTTGGGTAGTCTGGAAGTAGCCATCGATGCATGCTGGATGCATGGTTCAGGGTGTTTGTGGTGAATGGGCTGCTTCAGATCCCTTCAAGGACACGACAGTCTTACCTCGTCTTTGCACTGCTTGGGTCTCCACCTCCAGTTGCTTTTGAAATTCAGCCCCCAAGCCGTATCCAATGCTGGTTTGTGCCTTGTACCATATGTGCGCGGAGTTTACCTGTTTCAGTGGTGCGCCGTCCTCAGCTGAGGCAGTATCTGCAGTTGCTGTCAATATCACTTAAATATATTCTGCTTTGGTGCTCTTTACGTCAACATGGTCCAGACGAAGTCAAGCCAATACAGGGCCTCATTGAAGACTCATCTCACGAGGATGAAACTCCGAAATTATACTATGGACAAAAAATCAACCCCGCAATACTGGATTCACAGTCGATGATTGTTGGTACTTATCGAGCAGCCTGAATCGCCACGATTAGGTGGATCATGGCGAGTTTGCAGCTCCGATGACAGAGTCTTTGACGCAGCAAATCGTGTTGCAGGATCGGAATCTTATTTTGATCGACATGTGCAAGCTACACACATGGATATGCGAGCACTGGTGGGAAAGGACAAACCATTTGGAACAGATTACAGCTCGATTCTCAGCACAGTTTACAATTTGGGGTGCTTTGAGTAGTGTTCAGGGCAAGTGGGAAGAAGAAAGCACCGGGACCAGACCACGTGTTGAGAATTAACACGGTCATCAATCTCGGTCTACTGTATAGTGCTCAAGGCAGCAGACGCTTCTTATAGTATGGCTGCATTAATGTTTTACTAGACAGTGAGGAACGTCTATTCCACGGCTCCCGCATTACGCAGCATCTGCACTATCTTACTGTGGCCGTTGCTTGATGCTGCCCACAATACACTGCGATAGGATCCTCCATTAATATTAACATCAGCTCCCGCATCAAGTAGCATCTGCACTATCTTCTCATAGCCAGACTTTGATGCTACCTGCAGAGCACTGCTATGGTAGAATCCTCCTTGATTATTAATATTAATATCAGCTCCTGCATCCAGCAGCATCTGCACTATCTTATCGTGGCCATAAAATGATGCTGCCTGCAGTGCACTGCCGTAGTGTCCTCCTTGAATATTAACATCAACTCCCGCATCAAGCAGCATCTGCACTGTCTTCTCGTGGCCATAAAATGATGCTGCCTGCAGTGCATTACCGTAAAATCCTTGTTGAACATTAACATTAACATTAGCTCCAGCATCAAGCAGCATCTGCACTATCTTCTCATTGGTGTGCTCTGATGCTGCTTGTAGTGCACTGTTGCAGTGTCCTCCTTGAATATTAACATCAGCTCCCGCATCAAGCAGCATCTGCACTGTCTTCTCGTGGCCATAAAATGATGCTGCCTGCAGTGCATTACCGTAAAATCCTTGTTGAACATTAACATTAACATTAGCTCCAGCATCAAGCAGCATCTGCACTATCTTCTCATGGCCAGACCTTGATGCTGCATGTAGTGCAATGCTGAAAATTTCTCTTTGAAAATTAACATCAACATCAGTACTTGCATCAAGCAGCATCTGTACTATCTTCTCATGGCCAGAATCTGATGCTGCCTCTAGTGCATTGCCGTAATTGCCTTTTCCATTCTGTATTAAGAGATCTACCAGGACAATATTCGCCTTGATCACTGCTAAATGAAGTGGTGTTTCGCCTCGCCTATTTTTCGCTTCCACGTCAACTCCATACTCCATTATTATCTGAGCACCGTGGGTATAATTGCGAGCGATCATCTCGAAAAGTGGCTTTGTCAGCATCTCAGGTGCTGGTGACGCGCCGTGTTGACGCAATAAGGTAATAATGTTGGGCTTTTTGCTGTATATCGCCGCCAATAGCGCATGTTTGTACTCACCACCCAACTTGTTGACACTCGCACCATTTTGAAGCAAGAAACGTGCTATGTCTTCGTGACCTGCGAAACAAGCAGCCTGAAGGGGGGTACCATACCTGCCCCCGACAACATCAAGGTCGCCTGACTTAGAGACTAAAGCTTTGATTAGACTCAGTAGGTTGTACTCGACGAGGATATACAATAACGGCACATCGTTACGGTATTTCCGTACTTCGTATCGTTCAAAGGCATTTCGCCATTGTATCCAGTTGCAGAGGTCTCTTTGACCGGTTCTTTGCATTTGTTGTAGAAAGGTTGTTTGCGAAACACCATTCTTCTCTGCGGTATCAGCATGTCTTAAAAGACTGCTCACAGCATAATCTATTAGCGGAAATGTCGACTTGAGCAGCGTAGGGTTCTTTTGCTTCGGATTACTGTCATTATCCGCATTGTCTAGCTCCGGTGACCCACAGTGTCGAATATATCGAAGGCAGCCGTACCTCAATTTGTCATTACTCCAACCTTGAACCTTCCCTGTCAAGGCAGACTGTATCTGCTTCAGCCCCTTTTCTCCGGTCAAGAAATCTCGGACAGTTTCGTGAATAAACTGAATGACTGGTGGTTGACTTTTAGTCTGTTCGACAAGACCACGCGAATACTTCAGTATGCGTCTGTTCAATTGATCTTTACCAGGGAGGATGGTGTCCAGTTGGGATGTAGCTGTCTGGCTGGATTGAATTGCTAGGTACAGCTCACCTGAGCTCAAAGGACGCGTTGAATAGAGCACCCATTGTAGAAGAGATACGCAAGTCTCCTTGTCTTCGGAGCTGCGCTTCAGGATATCTGCAAACAGCCCCTCCAAGCCCTTGGGAATTCCCTCAAGAAGTTTGCTCATCGCGTCTATTCCGCCACCATGGTCATATTCCTTCTTCAGCATGCAAACGACGAGAACAACCCACAAGAAGACTCCGTCTGCTTTGAAACACACTTCCTGTCGAAGCCCTACCATTCGGGGAGTGTCCTCACCAACGAAGTTTTGCTGAACATATGTTTCGATGTCCTGCTGATGTTCTGGCTGGTGTTCAACGATGAGCGACAGCCCATTCCTTATGCTAATATGGGGATAATGGCGACTTGAGAGGCAAATTCGAAGGCGCATTGAAGACGATTGTGAATGTCGGCCAAGTTCCTGGAGAAAATCCATCATCTTCCGCACGTCATTTTCATCGCCTTCGTCCAGAGCATCAATGAATATTTGGAGAGGGGGGGCATCAATAGTCTTGACAACCTCAATGAGAAAATCCTGGAGTTCTTCCTGAGTCCACTCATCCACTGTGCCGTTTCTTTCTTTCGACAGAAACCGGTCGAAGAAAACAGGTTTACTCTCTGGGACCTCGCAGAGAATTTGGTGCACAAGTGATCGATACAGTCCTAAGCATGATTTTTCGAGGGCACTAGGGGCGCGGGCATTGAAAAAATAAGACAGAACGATAGTGTTCTTTGGCCGCCTCCTTTTAGCCCAGTCCCATGCATTTTTCATGATCGTACTTTTGCCCGAGCCGGGCTTGCCCTTCAGCCAAAGGAAGCCATGGTGCTCAGCAATCCGACTATCTTGCAGCCAGGCTTCGAAATCCCTGTGACGGAACAACCAGGCACATGTTTTAGGTGTAGCTCTAGTAACATTTCGCAGACGTGCGTCCATGCGATCGAAGGTAAGCGATTCGAGCAGGGCTTCGCGTCTGGATTGGCCACAGTCATGATCATGGTCGCAGCTCTGGATGATTCTGTCCCCAGTATGGGTTGTGCTATTTCCAACAACGCTGATATCTCCATACCTTTCACCGGGTTGATTTTGCTCCCTGGTACATTTTTGTCTTGCGACGAAGTTACATAGGACTCCGGCATTGTCCAACCTGGGTCTTTTGATCATGCGCTGGTCTATCTCATCATTGTCCATGCTCTCTATTTCATCATTTGAGGCGGTTCTTTTCGCCAAGCGATATTCCCTAATAGTGGACATCTCCAGGTGGGTTTGCGAATGGCTGTGAGAGAGACCCGGGTAACGATCGCCACGGGGGTCAGGGGAAGGTTGACCGGTTGCCAATCTTGGCTGTTCTGGAATGCGATCGCCCGTATCGGCATGACGCTGACTGCCTGAAAATTGGCGGCCTACAACCCAATATCAACTCACTTGTCTCATTCGTATTGTTATGGGATGGAAAAGCTTGTCACCGTAGCCATAGTGCCCAAAAGAGGACTCACCAGATGATGTGCTCACCGCGGCGCTCCGCCTCTGCACCACTCGTTGGGCAGGAATGACCATCAACAGCTCCTTCATGTATGCTGCTGCCACCGCCGCGGCGTACGGCTGCCACCGCTTGTTCTTGTGCGAGTCGGCATAGTCACATATCCCACGGATGACGAGACAGGGAAAGCTGTTCATCAGGCCGGCCGCTTCCATCTCAACACATAAGATGTCCATATCCTTCTTTAGCCCATCTCGTGTAGCGCTATCTTTCACCACCATGTTGGCTGATCCAATCGTCCCATAATGTATGCGAGGTCGGTGGTCGGGCCGAACGGGACGAGACACCGTTTGGCTCGGATCACACTGACCACAAGTGGCGCCAGATTGATGTGCATAGGATGGCAGGAACAGTTGATCCTGGTGGTCTGCTGGGAACGAGTATTGAGCCTGCATTCGAACATTCTGCTGCATCATCTCTGACAGGTTTTCGAAGATCTGATTGCCGCCCTGCCGGAAGTGCTGAGCTTGCAGCTTGTGCACACTGGCACTTAGAAACGCTGGCGGCTTGTTCATTTGACCGGTCCTCTCGAATCGCCCGTCCACCAATCTCTTGCCCAGGTCGTATTGTACCACGCCGCCGAAGGTATCAGTAGGCTGACTCACTACCACATCTCCTAGACGAATATCAGGCTCGCCTGTCGCGCTAGGTACACCCCCTCCGATACCCACCAGCAGACCGAATCGGATTGAGGGAAAGTCGTTGAGTAACTGCGTTGCTACTGCGGCCGCTATATTGTTCCCGATCTCAGGCATGACCGCCACCACCACATTGTGTTCATCAATCTCACCGAGTGTGTATACATTGTGATCGCGATTTGTCGGGAGGGATTTGTGGATCCTATCGAGCATGCCTTCTACGGGAGCCAGCTCGACGCCCATGGGACAGAGGCATGCGACTGTGTATTCGGTCGGGGACAGTATTCGTTTGGGCTCGCAAGCCATGTCGTAGGTAATACCACTCCAAACGTTGTTATCCCTTCAAGTGACAGAAATAGAACTATTTGGTAAATGGTCTGAGGTTCCAGTTAACATGTCCCGTTTCTTACAAGTGATATATTCTTGGGTTTTGAGAGCCCCCAAATAGGGTCTTAATAGAGGATCACGTAAGGTTAATTGAACTCGTAGAACAATCAACATAGACAAGGGGTAAGTATTCAATCATGGCAAGGGCCCAGAATCGGAACTGGGCACAGGTGAGATGAGGGTGAGCAGTCTGAGCACCACCTGCACGAAGTCTAAGCACGAGGCGGCTGAGCTGTCACGTTGCAGAGGTGAAGCGGGGCTGTGCCGAAGTTGAGCCGGTAAGAAATACTTAAGAATGGCCCAACCAAAAGAGGACACATTAGTTTGCAATTTGGTGCCTACGCGGCAACACCATGGGTCAGTTATGTACCACATAGTTATATAATAATTAATTGATAATTCTGGGGCATTAGCAGATCAATCTCGACTGATTCATGAGAGACTCGACAACTATGAACACCCTCGCAAAGACACACGCTATGAGAATGAACACCATTGGTAAGTTGAAAACAATCGAAACCCCAACAAGAATAAGACGAAGTGGGAGGCTGTTATGACCATCGTCCAAGTCATCCACCACGTTAAGCGCCCATCTTGTGGGAACGACGACGCACTGGCAAAGTAAGAAAAATAGCATGAGCGAAATGCAAGAGCTCCTCCAAAACACACGTTCCACCTCGATTGGAAAGCTATAGTTCCAAGCAATCATGTGTATTCCTCCATATGCAATCGTGAGTAGGAGGGCCAGCGCCTAACGAATTCTTCCGGATCCGTGGTCGAACTGGAACGGGGTTTTCCCAATAAACAGATTAGGTTATCTGCGGCCTTACTTTGCGGATTCCTCTCTCGTGCGCCAAAGTATTTCCTGTTTGCTGCCCAACAGTAATCAGAGTCAACATGTCCCTCCTGGTTGGCTCTACGATCGGCGGTGGATCCTGCTCTATGGCGACACAAGAGAGTTCTCAGAGGCAATGGCACTTCGCCTGATAGTACAATCTGTTGATTCGCTGGGCGCCCTTGTTACTCGTTGGTGATTTCTTAAGCTATTCGCACGGCAGCTTCTGCAGTGCTGTTTGATATGCTGCAGGCTGTATGGAACTCAGGAGGCTCAACAATATCATCTTGAGCGTGTCTGGTCATGTCGCTATTACTAGGAGCAACACTCTGTCGGCAGCTCTCATCCACTCTCCCTTGATAAGATTGGGATGGAATTTCGATACAATGTTTCGTAACATCCTTCCTGCCCTCTTCCAGCGTCGTAAGTCCCTCTCAGCAATGTTGAGTTCGATATTGTGGACCTGCCCCTGCAATCACAGGAGCATTGCTCACAGACCCCATAGTTACCTAAAATGAACCCACAAGGAAGTTCATCACCTGAAAGAGAAGTTTGGTGGGCCAAGCCATGCTCTGAAGGTATAATGTATTCCACCATCAAATATTGGCTGCAAGGCCTCTTTTGCAAGGGCAGTGTTTCGGGTGGGCTTTGCGCGGGGACACCGGTAAGATCAAGCTCGCTCCAATGGTTGTCGGGTGTATCGTTGGATAGAATTCTGTTGGTATCCACGCCGAATGCTCTTATACAATCACATATTGACCTGAGGGTCAAGTGGTCCAGCACAAAATCACCAACGGCACCTCCAGCAGAAGTGGCCTCTACAATGTCTAGTGGTATCTAAAATGTCAATTCATCAGGACGCTGGACCAAAATGAGGGTACGTGGAAGCGGACACTGAATTTAAACCACAACACATACATCATCAAAGCACAGCCCACGTGAACGAAGGTATGTAATTCAATAACCGTGAGCGGGTAGCCGACGGATTTCCGAGCTATGCTTGAATCAACATCCAGGAAACCTGGAAGCAGACTAGTCCTTGTGCAAAAACATCTGCTTTACTCCCATCGCTGATTTGTGATTCATCCATTGTTAATGAGTGGCCTTTCCTTGCAAAGCTCAATACTCTCGGGGGTGTTATCGTCAAGTACTTATCACTAAAATTGATTTCCTGCGTGTCAACAATAAAGCCTCCCATTATCACAGAGAAGCAATAAGCTAGGCTAAAAGACTTAAGTGGGATTGCTGAGCGACCTGCTACCGAGGCAGAATGAAGGACGTTTAGGCGAGTCGCGTTATAAGATTCCGTGCTCTGAGCCCATGATACAACCAATGGTCAATATATGTGCGGAGTGAGAAGGAGTGTTTTTAAAACTCGCCGTTGAATTTGGTGTTTCAGCTTGCTTCATTGCCTCCTTGTTTAAGTCTTTCTGCAGCTGAATGGCTCTGCAAAACTGATCCCATACAGCAGAAGAGTATAGTACGAGTTCGGGCGCAAAAATGCTGAGAACCGTCCATTTAGTCTTCACTAGAAACCACCACCTTGGACCGGCACCACTGTACATGTAGAGTCTTCTAAAATGCGCAAGACGGATACTTGTAAGTCGGTGTTCCGTCTTCCTGGCGTAAATCTTGATGTTTTTTTCATTAATTGATAGAGCTGCTAGCGTTTACTCGAAGTGGATATTGAGCTTCGATGGGTACCTCTCATTTCGTCGCCGCTGTTTGCGGCTGCAGGAACCAATCAGAAGAATGCCAAAATCTACGCCGGAAAGGTGGATAAATAATGATATCCAGAGGTCAAAAGCACATATCGGCAATCCACATGTCTTATGATGACCGTTTACTCTAGCACCGGCATCACCTCTTTTATTTCTCCTAGCTATGTCCACTATTGCTGCATTGCTCTCTTGGCCACCGGCGATAGCACCTACTACTACCGTGAAGATAAAGTCATTTGAGAAAAAGAAGACAGCCCAAGTATCAGAACCAAGTGCAGATGCTGCAGTCTAACTTAGATATATTCTCTATTGAATTCTAACCATCAAAGCATACTCGCCAACCTCTTGTCACAAACAGCCGATCCCTCCGCAATGGCGGCCCAAACCGCCTTCCTCTTCTCATCATCCCTCTCCCCACTGCTACCCCTCCCAATCACCTCCGGAAACTTCCTCCTCAACTTATCCTCATGCCACCTCAACTTCTCCCTCTGCATTTGCTGCTTAAACATTTTCAACATCTTCCTCTCGCATTCCTGCTGCCGCTGATCATAAGATGGGTAAGGGCTGCGTGGGGAGAGCTTGAAGTCGAGCTTGGGCGCTTTCCTGCGGTCGGGCCGAAGACCGCACGCTTGGGCAAAGAAGGAGAAGACGTCGCATTTCATGTGGTCGAAAGGGACGTCGGGTCGGATTGTGGGCCAGGGTAGTTCGTGGGGGTGGGGTCGTTGGACGCTGTCGATGTAGTCCCAGCGCTTGTTGTAATCCGTCAGTGCCGATGCGGCGTCTGGTCTGCCATTTTGTGAATTTGGTCGCGTGGACGAATGTCGGCTTTCTCTGTCATGGCTACAGGACCTATGCCCACCGAATGACGGCTGAGTTGTGGAGTCATAGTTGGCGGCACTACCAGGACAGTGCCTGCACCACTCAGGAATTGAATGAGGCACCTCTTTGGCGGCCTCGGAGTGACCCGTTCCTGAGGAGTTGTATACTGGATAGCGGTAGGCTGCGTCATGTGAAGGATGATAGGGCCAATGGGAGAATACTCCCCAAATCGAGCTATCATTCAGCTCTTCGTGCACAGGTGGGCTGAAGCCTGAGAACAAGCCATCGAACGATGTCGGATCGTCTTGACACGGAAGCCCGCCAGCCATTCTCTGATTTGCATATTGGGGGCCGAACGTGAAAGCAGGGAGCGCGCCACTCATTATATTGGTGATGGGTTGCGCACCGTCACTTACTGACTCATGGCATGGCGACGTTCTAGTTCGAGATATAGACTCTGACGGCCTCGAGTCATACCAGTGATTGTGTACGGTATAATGGATGTCTCGGGTGTTGCTGCAGAAGTCTAGCTTTGTTGTCCGTGACACAGGTGCCCGTCGCTTCGAGTCTCGTCCGCTTTCAGTAGTACTGCCGGAGCCGAAGAGATTGCATTTCAATCCCTGAAACACAAGCTTTGCTGTCCAGTTGTGATGATGTGAGGAAGACGACCTGTGAGGACGGTGGTGCTTTGTCTGATCTTCTCGAGACCGGTGGTTGATTGTGAGCTCTTCGTTCCGTGATCGTTGATGTCTTGGGGCTGCTCCATGTTCTCTACCTCGATAGTGAAATTCCTTTCCAAGCGAGGCTCTTGGGCGAGTTGCTGCGTCTGCCCATATCCCATCGAAGGAGTGATAGCTTGGAGGAGCCATGCCATCGTAGAAAAATGGACTTGATGTTGGTGGTAGCTTTCCTTCAATGCTTTTTCTTTTACGTTGGAGGTCTTGCTGGTAGTCCATTCTGCAGATATCTGTAGAGACAATATACATTTCCTTCGGAAGACTGAAAGATGAACACATCATAAAGAGATCCGCACAGCGTAGGACATGGATAAGGACAGGAGTGAAGTTCCTCATTCCGCGATAAGCGGTATAGCTGAGCTACCGGCAGCTTGCATCTGTGACAAAAGAAATTGTTTGCTATCTGGGTATAAGGTCAACGACGAAAAGTAGAAACTCCTTACAGCCCGCCCAATGCAATGAATCCCAGAGCCGTACATCATGTTCTGGTGGTACCACATCACACCGTCAACAGTCTTCCTGCTATCCACACCTATGTTGTGTTTGGTGGCTTCATAGGCTCATTTTCAGCACCACCAGCCCGGTTGAACCATGCAGGCATCCAGCTTCCTCTGTTTGCCTTCTTCCGTGCCGCTTCGTCATCCTCGACCACAGTATTCTCGCGCACTAGTCGTAGAGGCCTAAGCTGGCTCTGCTTCATTACGGCGCCCGGCAAAGCGTTTGGTCCTTGTTTCTCCCGAGGTGGACTAGGCGTATCCTGTGATTTGACCTCACTGCTGTGCTCGCTCAATATGCTATTTGTTCGACTACTGCGCTCGCCCGTGGGTAGGCCGCTACCAGAAGTGACTCGGGAGCTAGGCGGGTTGCTTGAGGCGAAAAATGGCGAACGACTTGACGAAATACCCGAATTAATCGACGGGCTAATTCCTGGACTAGAAGGTCCTCCTGAAGCTGCTCTGAGGGGCGAACCGCGGCGCATCTGACCTACGATCGCGGCGGGCATCGGGTTTTCTGTTGCTTGATCTGACCTTGAATGACGATGTCCTTTGGCGAGTGGGATGCTGGGAGCCGTTTCTGGGTTTTCGTGGGCGGTCGGAGCAGCCTCCATCGCAGCCGATGGCATGAAACTCAAGGGACGAATATCTGGTGGCGGCCGTCCAGCCTTCCCGGCAACGACTGATCTGGCACGCTGCAGCAAGGACGCGCCTTGTTCGCCAGGTGGAGGCGGTGGAAGCGCCTTGTCTGTCGATTTTACAGAAGCCTTCGTCGGCTCATCCTTCTCGTGGATGATATGCTCGAAGCCCTCGTGTTGCAAGAGCCGACCAATGATTTTGTCGATATACAGCGTGAGAGCCTTGTTACTGTCACGAGAAGATTTCAGCTCCGCTTCTAATTTCTTATACGCCTCTCCACCTTCACACTCCCCAACGTCTCTGGCTACCTCCAATTCATCAGCCAGAGAGCCCGTGCCTATGCCATTTGCTGTCTCTGGTCTTGACTCTTGCATGAAATCCCCCTTCAGGGTTTTCTCACTAAGTAGGAGCTGAAAGCTCTCATTGTCTTCCATGAGCCGGGCATTCGCCATCTTGGTATCCAGTAGCTGTTTCTCAATCTGCTGAAGCCGCCCATCTCCCACGTGCTCCATTTCAGCAACCTTAATTTGCACTTCGGCGAGCTCGAGCCTCAATGACTCAATCATCTTGTCTTTTTGTAGAAGCAGCTTGGAATTGTTGCGTGAGGGGCTTCGTTCGAGCTGGGCAGAAGGTGCAAATTGGCCCGGGTCGAGATCAGGAGACGCTCGGCTTCGGAAACTTGCTAGAAGCTATTTAGCAGGTTATTCCGGTCAATGATATAATAGAAATACCGGATCTGGATATGGCGGGCCGATCGCCTTCAATCTGCGCCCGCATCTCCTTCTGTCTGATCGTGTCGTTCAACCGCTGGATAATAGCTTGGAGCTCCTGTTCTTTACTTGCCTGATTTTCTCGCTCCTTGAGCATCATTGTCTTCTCAGCATTATGAGCCTGCTCTAGCTCTTTCTTCTGGCGCATGATGTCTTTTGTCTCTGCATGCACAGCTTCAGCCTCGTTGTCCTTCTGCGCAATCTGTTCTTCAAGGACGTTCCGCTCCCCTACAGCCTCCTGGAGACGCCTCTGTAGGATTTCGAGTTCCTTTCGATATTGTTCCGATGCTATCTCTGCTCTCTGCACCTGCAGCCTCAAATCTTCCACCAGTTGCGTATGTTCTGCCCTTGAATCATCGTCATAGTAGCCGTTGTCTGTTGATTTTGTGCGACCTCCAAGACCACTGTTTGCTCTTGCAGCAGGCTTTCTAGCTGCCGCTCGAGCTGAGATTGGTGTTGGAGATTGTCTGGAGGCAGACGGTCTCATTGCGCCGTTACTGCTATTACCGGTGGAGGTCGTTTGACGTGTAGGTGAAGTCGAGGTCGTGCGGGCAGACGCTCCGTTGGTGGCCATGCTGTCGTTCACTGGTCTTCGGCTGGGCGATTGTGTTTGCGTAGGTAGTGGCTTGCGAGGATTAGATGCCATGCCAATGCACGTGTCAGAGGCTTGCAAGATTCTCCAGGAGCGTTGTTGCGCCCGGCGTTCAAATAAGAATTCCCCTGTCTAACACTTGAAAGCTGCCCCTTTTCCAGTCCCACATCTGAGAAGGTGTGTCTTCTAATGCAATCCCATAGGAGGAAACATTTGCGACTGTGGTCGGTATGCTTGGCAAGATAGAAGCCAACATTCCCAAAATAGAAATGTCGCGAAGTCTCCTTACATACGTAACTTAGCTCGGGACTCCGAAGGCGCGATGGTACGGAGTCGGGCCCCATGAGAGTCAAACCACGCTAAGATATAGCTTGCCAAGATAAAGAAATGAATTTGTCTTGACACTTAGTGTCATTCCAATTATTCCGGGGGCTGAAGCCTATAACTAGCCTAAAGCACCACAAGAACTGTCACTATTATATTCCCTAAGCAACTATTATTTTGCGTGAGTTGGCCCTAAAATCAGATAGCTAAAGACTAAGGGTCATCTGAAGCCGTAATATTTAGAGCGTTAGTACGCCTAAAGCTTATAGAGGAGGAGTCAAATGACATAGTTGCTGGCAAGAGTGCATCACTTGGCACGTATTTCTTTAGCGTGGTTCGACTACTTATGTGGCACGACTCCCTATCCCACGCGCCGGTGGGAATTTGCTGCATTTTAGCGTCAAAATTGCTTGGCATATATAGAAATCGAGCAAAAAGCGCCAGCAAGTAATTATTTAGCTACTGACAGTGGTATTGCTCGAAACAACGCCCTTTTACGCATAGATATACGTTGCAGCTTCTACATCCTCCGTGCGACAGTTTCGTACGCTTAGAAGCAGCGCAATTGACGATTTCGGCTAACGCTGGCCTGCTGCTCTTCTCCTCCTCTTGAGCGCTCTTTTTGCACCATACACAGTATCCACGCTTCTTCAAGGGCTGCCAGCAATGATCAAGAGTTGCTCGATTTGGCAGGGCTATAGGCTTGCTCTTATACTTGATAGGCAGTAGAGGATAGGGCGTATTGAGGAGGGCGTCAATGAGCGCTTTTCGAAACGGGCGTTGACCTCTTTTCTTTGTGTCT